GGGCATGCTGTTTGCCTGTTTGCCAATTCCAGAGAGACTGGAAAAATCTTTGGTGCACATCTGGGGTGCATCATGCTAGACCATGTTGGCACAAACATGAGCAATCTCCCCGCATCTGCTGAAGCCATGAAGCAGAGGTAGATGAGGCAATCTGGTGGCTTTCATAGTGTCTTAGAACCTTGGAGTCAGGGGCGGGTTTCAAAACCCATCGCTACCGGTTCACTCGTGGGTGTCCACAAGCTTTTTCCACTTCTGCACTTGCACAGAAGCTTGTGGGTGGGTGGGTGAAGCCTCCCGCCACTGCTGCTACCGGTTCGCCCAATCCGGGGCGAACCGGTAGCAACCCACCACTGCTTGGAGTGTACATTGCTTTGCAGATGGTGCATCATTTGAACTTTCGTCAAAGTGAAAATTACTTTTAAAACTCCACAGTTCTAGTGGTTTTTACAATAGGCACCTCTGAGAGGATTATGATGTTCACATGCTACTATTGTTTTACTTCTTTGTCATTTGGGTCACTTGCTAGCATTTATATATATTATAATATATATATTATAATATATATATATATTATAATATATATTATATATATATATAATGTATGATTCAGTTTTGCAAGAAAACTTTCATGGATTGATTTAATTATATTAAACAGTTTAATTGGCTGTTGGTTGAAGTAAAAAATACCATTACATGAATCAGAGAATCTTTAGGGCACTTTTCATTAAACAAGTTCAGCTGTATGTTTTTTTTTTCTTTTCTTTTTTAATTAAGAGACATCCTAGCTCTGTTGCTTAAGGCTTTTTTTCCTCTTCTTCTTCTTCTTTTCTTTTTTTTGAAGTTACATCTGAAGCATTGGTAAAAATCATTTGATATCTTTGCAGACAAATTACACAATTATCCAGCATTATGATATTTGTAAAACATTTGTCTTTCTTGCTGCTATACTTGTTGGAAGGAATTACTTTTAATATCTAGAAAGGGCCATTTTTTGCCTCTTCATAGTTACCTGTTTCTTGTATCAAGTATAATAATTGCGTGAATAGCATAGTATGCTAGACCATTTAGTGGAAAACTCTATATGTTCCATTGCGGTTAACATTTGCAGCCTTCCAATTCCTCATTTCTTTCAAAGCCCATAAAATGCATGTCAACATTTCAATCCTTAGGAACGGATGTTTCTATTCTAGATTACCATATTTAGTCTAAAAAATATTCAGGTGGGCACCAGATGGCTGCAAAGAGATACAGTAAACAATAAATATTTACCGACTGACAGGAACTTTGCAGCCCAAATATGGTACCCTAGGGCGTGTAGGGATGGTCACAGATTAGGCTTAAAAAAAACAACAAGATGGTTGCCACACTGTTATGGTTCAAGCTCCCCCTGTTTGTGTATGTGTTGCAAATGATAAACATGTGGGACTTGAATAAGTCCACCACAGACAGCACTTTGCCTTTTCCGGTCATAGCTTGGGGAACCCCCCCGGAATGGCAGCCCGTGTCCCAAGGCTGCAGAAGCCCTACATACTTTAGGAGTAACCTCTAGAGCATGGACGTCAAACCTGATCATGTCACAGGCCAGATCGTGATGTATCATGATGTTTTTTGCCTTTGCGGAGCTGAGGTGGGTGTGGCTTGAGCGTGACGTAGAGAGGTCGGCTTCACATACTGTAGCAACCGGTTCGTCCAGCACCGGAAATGTGGACGTGCACTGTCACAAATCACGGCAATTAGGTCACGCACGCTGCCCGTACATGCGTGCAACGTCAAACAACATGGCAATTTGCTCATGCGCACTATCCACACATGCATGCAGTGTCAAAAACACAGCAATATAGGACAGGATTGTGCCCAGGTGAATGAGTGGGCAAGCACACCCAGAGGTTGCCCAGCAGGTCACCACTACTGGTTCACCTGAACAGGTCCGAATTGGCTGAATACCACTTCTGGTGACGTATCTGGTCCGTGGGCCGCCAGTTTGACAGGCCTGCTCTAGAGGCTTGCAACTTAATAATAACTTGTAATATAATTAAACAGCACATGGGAATTGATGTTATTAACAGGGTTTAACACAGTTCCTCCCCCTTCCACACTCTTACTCCCACTCCAGCCATTTGGTATTTTTTGTTGATGTTGTTGAGATTTGACAGAATGGCTGCCTCATTCTGCTGAGGAGCAAAATTAGGGATCACTTGGAGCGGTTTATCTAATTTATGGAGATTATGGAAGGAAGATGGTCATATGAAGAAGTGCATTAGAATGTCAGTGGCCTCAACCCTTCCTCCATTAACTTAGTCTAAGCAACATGCTTATGGGGGAGAATCCTAAGTAAAAAGAGAAACAAATCTAGTATCAAACCAGCCACTTCTGTGAAGTTATACATTAATGCACTCAGATTGTGTAGTGAACAGCAATGGCTGGATGGCATTATCACTAGGGATAATGACATCTGAATTGCCTTCCTCAGTTTGATGTCCTGTGATAATAATGTTGAGCTATAATTCTGACTCTGTTCTGCAAGTGCCTTCCGGGAACGTTGTGTATTTAGCCAAAAGTTCCTGGGCACAAAAGTGGATAAGGTCACCTAAAGTCCTATTTTTAATTTTAGACCTTGTGTCATGACTTGAACGAAACCAGAATTGTCTGATCTGTGCGTGGCTGTTTATATATATTTTGAGAAAGCTGCTTCATTGCAACATCCAGACCAGGGGTTTTCAAACTTTTTCAGCCTTGGGATCCTGTTAGCTTTTTAAAAAATATCTGAAACATCTGGTCCAGAAATAAAGTTGTAGAGTCAGAAATCTGGCTGCATTTGGGTGATTCCACTTTGTCTTTCATAGAACCTACATATCATCTTTTTGCAGAATCTTGAAAAACCCCAATATAGTTTTTGTCTCTCTTGTCAAAGATTGGCTCCATAATAGAAATTTAAAACCAATCACAAAAGAAGACTGAATCCTCTAAACAGCAAACACTGGATTATATATTGAAATTATGAAATACGCAATATAAGCCATCAATATTTTTTTTTATTTTTCTGAACTGTGCTCATTTTTTAAGCGTGGTCCCCAATCTCAAGAATGTCATATCCTCCAATACCTGCCAACTGTTTTTATGCATTAAACAATAAGGAAGCTTAAAATGTTAATTCTTTGCAATTACTCTTCTTTGCCAATAGAGGCTGCTATTAATACATAATGATAAAATGTAAGTTTGCATACTTGCAACCTTATTAATGTAATTTACTATTTTACTATTTTACTATTTTGATTTGTAATATTAGAACTACTTAAACTACTACTACTACAACTAGAACTACTTTGTTCTTTCAGCAAGTGTGGAATAAAAAGTAGGAATAAATACAATTTTTCTTTGCATTATGTCTACATTTAAATGTAGCCTTAACTAATTGCAATAATCTTTTATTATTCTCAGGTTTTTGACATTTATTGTGATTTCCCAAAGCAAACACACATATAGAAAATATGAGCATAGGGCAGAAATCTATGCAATTACAAAATTACAAAAATGCATGTTGTTACATCTGTGAAGATTGTATTTATCTCTATATTGCAAAAAGTGCACACAAAATTATGTCTCTTAGAAGAATAATTGCCCAAAACTGCATAAAATTTGAGGCAGATTTTTATGGAGAATTGCAAAGAAAATGAAAACATAAGATGAAATAAATTTAAAACTGAGTAACTAATAAACTGAGCAAGTTCAAATGTGCAGACATATTCATTCCTACATATTCCCCATATTGATTCTAGGTACCAGTGAGCACCTGAAGCCATGCATGATGAACCACCATAGGACATACGGTAAGCCCATCCTTTTTTCATGACCCAGTGTGATGTAATGAATGGAATGGGAAAAAAAACTTGGCTGTACAACCCAAAGTTCTCTTTAGGAGAAAGAAACAAATTTAGATATTTTTTTGTGTTTGTGTGTGTAGCAGTGGTGGATTCCAAATTTTTTTTACTACTGGTTCTGTGGGTGTGGCTTGGTGGGCATGGCAGGGGAAGGATACTGTAAAATCTCCATTCCCTCCCCAATCCAGGGGAAGGTTACTGCAAAATCCCCATTTCCTCCCTATCAGCTGGGACTTGGGAGGCAGAGAATAGATGGGGGTGGGGCCAGTCAGATTTTTTACTACTGGTTCTCCGAACTACTCAAAATTTCTGCTACAGGTTCTCCAGAACTGGTCAGAACCTGCTGAAACCCACCTCTGGTGTGTAGCCAGATTATCCTCTCCTACATCTGCAGACATCAAACTACATTACAATGATTCAGACTACTTGTGTACTTAAGTAGAAAGTAAGAGAGGTGACCTTGACAGAAATATGCAAGAACTGATACATAAACATTATTTAAGTCTTAGAAAGCAAGGTGGTACTTGGAAGCAACTCAGGAAAGCTTCTCTCCAATTCATTGGTCATAAGGAGGAGGGAGGACAGGAACAATCAGTTTCTGTTATTAAATATGCTGGCCTTTACTGTAATATTTTTTTAAAATTTCATCTGGCTTTCAAGAAGAGATTAGATTGCCATTTGTCAGAAATGGTGAAGGTAGGGTCTCCTGCTTGGGTGGGGGGTTGTACTAGATGACCTACAAGGTCCCTTCCAACTCTGTCTAACCTAACCTAACCTAACCTAACCTAACCTAACCTAACCTAACCTAACCTAACCTATTCTATTCTATTCTAATCTAATCTAATCTAATCTAATCTAATCATCTAATCTAATCTAATCTAATCTAACCTACCCTAACCTAACCTAACCTAACCTAACCTAACCTATTCTATTCTATTCTATTCTAATCTAATTAATCTAATCTAGTCATTTTCTGCAGCTGGTTTTTTCTGGTCTGATCTATCTTGTGGGGCTGATAGTTTTGCTACATTATTATTTCAGGGACTGGAAATACAACCACTTAGATGTACTATCGCACTTCTATAAAAGCATAAAAACTTCAAATTAAATTATCAAACAATATTATCAATCAATCAATATTTATTTAGTCACAGAACATCAAATAAAACAAAACATCACAATTAATTAAAGTAAAAGAGGAAGACATAACATTCTGAAATATTTAAAAGAAGAGAGGAGATACCACAGTGTACTCTACCAACTATAGAGCAGTTCTTGGCTGTGGTCAGTGAAGTAAAATCAGACTGATCAGATAGTAACAACTTAAGAATGATAGAACAACCAGGATGTTTAGTGAAGAACGGAGATTTTTCCTGCATAGAAAGGACAATGTAAAAGGACATGTTCCATTGCCTCAACTATTCCTCCACCTCATGGATACAAAAGGATGTTTTAGATCTTCCTTCAGTAACAGCTCTTAGGAGCAGGGCATTAAATTTAGTCAAGGATAAGCCTTTCTAAATTTTGGAACTGTTATGAAGCTTAGGTATCTGACTGGTCAGAGAAATTTGCAGAATATTGTAGCTCAAAAAGTTTTTTCCTGATTCAAAACGGATGAATCTGATTGCAGCTCTGATTTGATGGCCTATTGTTTAAGATCAGCTAATGCACTTCAGGGTGAGAGCTGCCGCTGTAAAGCCATGGGATTGCAATTGAGTAAGTATTGTGTGGCACCAGGAAAAGTGAAAGTCATGATTAAAGGGGCCAAATCAGCAGGGGGGTGGGAAGCAAGTTTGACCCACAAGTTTTCTATTTTAAGTAGGCCAGCTCCACAGCAAAAATACCCCATTTGGAATGAAGTAGATCTCAGAAGCTAGATCCAAACTCTTTCAAGAGAAAGGAATAACCTGTAGGTGCCCAGCTGAACTCGAAAGAGGCGCTGGGCTCAGATCTTAGCCGAGAAAACTTTAATTGCTGCAGGTATATTTGAGCTCCTTTGGAGAAGTGGAAAGATTGTAAAGTTGATGCTGTTTTTGTGCATTTAAGCTGACACAATGGGACTTAAAGCTGGCATGGGATCTATGGTTGCCTGTCTCAATGGAAAACAATATCCAGATATTTCAAGGTCTTAATTTTCTCTACTGGGTGATTGTTTGGTGTCAGGACTTGTGCCTTGGTTTTGGACTAATTAATTTCTAGCTGTTTTTCTCAGCAGTGCTCAGCTACTGTATAAAGTGCCCATTTCAGAAAGATTAAATTATTTGTTTATAAAATTGTATCATAGCCTTTTTCATTGTTAAAATCCAATCTCCAATGGCTTGTCCAAATGTGTGAGAGATTTTAGTATTTGCTTATAAGATTATATGATACATGCAGGTGAGAGCCGGACGTTAAAAAAGAAATTAAAAAATAGGTGCCAATGCTATAACACAAGGCCAAACAGCAGTACCCGCCAATTGAAATGTTGCTGACTCCTCTTTTGAGTGATAACAGCTTTTCAGGGTTCAAGATGAGAATTCTTACATCACGCTGCTACCAAAGATTCTTGACCTGAAATTTCTGAATATGCATTTTCCTCTTGCCATAAATATAATCTTTATCAAAGCTATGGGTTTCTCAAAGTCACTTTAGAATAATAACTTAGTCAGTCGGTCAGTCAGTCAGTCAATCAGTCAGTCTGTCTGTCTTCTGTCTCTCAAAATTTTGTGATTTCTCCCCTCCTCCCTGCCAACGTTGGCTTGTGCTTTTATTTCCTAACAGAATATATACATATTATCTAGTTTTTTTCTGAATAGAGGCAAAGCCCTCCCTTTGGAATGGACTCTGTGAAGTTTTATTTGGAAGGGCTTCCTTCACACACGGAATAATAAATATTTTTGTATAAAAGATGTGTTTCCAGAGTGGTGAATATGTGGTTAAGTACAAACGTCAGTAATGCTCGTAAAGGTAATAGAGATCCTATAATTATGTTTGTGCAAATGATAATTTTACATTTTGTCCAGTTAAAATGTGAACAAATATTCTAGGAGATTAGAAACATTTATAGGAACATTTAAGAGTGACTTGCTGGCTATTTTCAATATATATGTCAATAAATTAAGGTATTTCAAAGTTGATAGATCTGTCAAAATCTAAATGTAGTATTTCTGCAAATTACCATGTTGGTGTGATAAAAAAAAAAAATCCTAAGAATTTTCATGAGGACTGAGACACAATTATACAAAGTTTGGCTGCTCTGAATTTTCAAGCCAGGTTGCTATGTCATCTCGGTATTGTTTTAGCCATTCGATGTTGCTCTTTGTGGTTTCCAAAGCTTGCTTTCTTGAGGCTTCTCCTGCTCCAGCATCAGGATATCTCTCAAAGAAATTTTCCATCTTAAGAAAATAAAACATGTGCAAATATTAATGACATAGAACTGGTTTCTCGGAAGACCAAACAGTTTCGTGTATCTCCAGTTTGCAAAATTTTTCATAGATCTACAAGTCAATACGTAATTATCAAATATATTTTGTAAATAGGCTTTGAGCTCAGTTATACCTGGTTGGGTTGTTATGCATCTAGTCTAACACTATGCATTGGTTTTGGAGTGAAGCCTGCATTCTGAAGCAGATCAGAGTAATTCAAAACATTATAATTTACACGACATAGAGTGAACATTTTTATCACACCTCATTTTGATTTCAAACTTCACTCCTGATTTGTTGTACTAGAATTTTGGTGCACTATGGTTGTCATGCTAAAATTTACTGGTTGAAAGAAATATCAGGGTGGGGAGAAGGAGGAGACTGGATTTAATGACCAACATGTAGAGCCTCAACTCAAAGTGATCCTTCCAGTCACTCTGGTTCAAGTGACTCATGTCATCCTATCAGCAGAAATCTGGAGAATTCCTGTAGCCAAAGACAGCTTCTGTTTTACCATTCACACCATCTGATTTTTTACTAGACTTTCACCCTTACGCATTGTTTGACAACGTTTGAAGTGTTGTCTTAACTAGCTGATAGGAAAAGACCAATGAGCCAATCTTTTAGATTTCTGATGATTTTGAGCATCAGATGCATAAGATGTGCATTATCAAATGTTTGCCATCATTAACTCTTCTGCTATTTAGCTGTTTTCAATTTTCCAAAGATACTCTTCATGAAAGTGCCATTTTTCTGCAAAATCATCCTCCCCACACCCCCAAAGCAAGGATCTTATAGAATTCAAAACTTTTTTTTAAAGCAGCAAAACTTGAAAGTCCTTGAAATTGATTTCTAAACTTGGCATGACTCATCCCCTTGGAGTGGTTTAGCTTTTCTATAATTTATATTTTGTTCTGATTTTTTTTAAAAAAAGAGTTACTTAGTTGCTAACACTCCTCCTTTTTTTTTTTTATGTCTGAACCAGGAAATGTCTGAACCAGGAAATGTCCCCCACAACAAATAGACTATTCACAGACTATTCCAGTTTAGATCATTGGTTTTAGATCACACGTTTAGATGTGACATTATTAGAGAAGGGCTAACTATGTATTCTGTAAGCATTATTGGTTTTAACGTCCCATATTTCTTTTCTTCCTTAAGAAAAGCTAATGAGTTGTTTGGTTTGGATTGCGATAGTACTGGCATATGTAAAGGACAGGTCCTACTCTTGGTTTCCATGTACATTCTAAACTGTTCCCAACCTTACACTGAGTGAGTGTACATACAATTTTCAGAGACTATTTACAGGAAAACTAGAAAGAGTGGAAAAGAACAAGACTTTCTGACGAACAGGGAAAACAAACAAAAGTTACACATGAGCTAGGTGGCTGTATAAGTCCTGCAAATAAATACATTTAGGATGGATTAGGAAACTTTATTGCCAGCAAGGACTACAATTTCTTTTTCTTTTTCTTTTTTATTAACTTTTGAGGGTTGCAACTAACTTGAGGCTTGTGGCTGGATATGAAATTTTTCCCTTGATTTGTTATTGTTTTATTTTACTTTGTTTTGTGGAAGGTGGGGTGGAGTTAGAGTTGATTGGCTCATATTGTACAGGTAGTCCTTTAGGGAACTGTGGCCTTCTGTGCTAGCTTTGAGCTGAACGGTACTGCTGTATGGATTGTACTATTTTGTTTGCCATAAAAAAAATTGACAGGAGCAATATTCCCATTAGATTTCCATTACCAAGTTCTTGTTCTGGTTTTATCATTCTAGTTAATGCTTATATACATGCCCAATAAAACTGTTTGATTTTGAGGAGAATATACACGTTTTCACATGTTTCCTGGATAGTTTTTACCCCAGAGCTATAATTACACTCAATGAACTAAAGGGCCACCATCAGTGAGCTGTTGGACAGCATTACTTGGTCTGTTGTGTGGATGTTTGGGTGGTTTAGGGGTGGGGAATTTGTGGTGGGTGGGGGTGTGTTTGGGGATTGTTATGTGTTGGACCTGGTCTTTGGGTGTTAAGTGAATTTCGTTGTATCGGTATACTGTGCATACACGTACAATGAAAATAACGTTGTTGTTATTGTTGTTGTTGTTGTTGTTGTTGTTATTGTTATTGTTAATATACAGGCCCCAAAGACTATAAAATCAGAACTCGGCAAACTTTTGTGGGTTGCCACAATCAAGAAACCCCTTGCCCCTATCAACATTCATCTCATTAAATAGGTGCACGTAGAAGAAGAAAGAGTAGTAGTATCTTGGCATTTTTCATATCTAGAAAATTGGATAACTGCATAGTAGCCAACCACATTGTGTCTTACCTGCCAAAGCTGGAGCTCTGTGTTAAATGTGCCTGTTATTCTTGATATTAGGCGGCCAAGATTTCTATCATTAAGAGTGTATCTGTGAAAAAAAGAACATATTCATATTTGGCAATAGCAATAGCACTTAGACTTATATAAGTGCTTTATAGCCCTCTCTAAGTAGTTTACAGAATCAGCATATTGCCCCCAACAATCTGGGTCCTCATTTTACTGACATCGGAAGGTTAGAAGACTGGGTCAACCTTGAGACGGTCAGAATCGAACTGCTAGCATTTGGCAGAATTAGCCTGTGATACTACATGCTAACCACTGCACCACCACAACTCCTTATGCATCCTTATTTATGCATGCAAAACATGGTGGCTACTACATATTGGCTTTCAATATAAAAATACTTAGTGGAAACAAAATCATCACATCATCATCATCTCTCAGCTAATGGCCACTTGATAGGGACTAAAATTACTTGGGATCCTGTCCTATCTACTTGGGAAGTAGATATGTTAATTTCTATCACTATGTTCTTGACTATGTAGGAAATTGAAATTGCTTCCTTCCCCAGAGCCATCTGTGAGCAAAACAATGTTATGCTTACTCTTTGTGTTGATTGGAGAGAACCTGCTATTAAACAAGCCTCCCTTGAGTTCCATAAGCTACAGCAGGAACATTCCAGAAGACATTTTGTCAAGCCTCAAAATTGGAAGGCCTGGTGCTTGTTTCAGACAGACTTTAAATGCGGTGAGGTAAACCTTAGTACAACTTTTAGTCCAGATACAGCACTAGCCCAAGATGTTTTGCGGCTTCCATAGAGGAGATATAAAAGCATTCTATTTAATCTAGATCAGTGTTTCCCAAACTTGACCCTTTGAGGATTTATGGACTTCAACTCCCAGAATTCCTCAACCAGGCATACTGGTTGGGGAATTCTGGGAATTGAAATCCATGCATCTTAAAATAGCCAAGAAGGAAGCACTGAAACTATCAGATATATTTTATTACACTGTTCATTTTATGAAAGCATCTGCATAAGATGATAACCTAGACCCTAACCAAATTCCCTGGTCATTCTGATCAATTTCATTTACAAATATAACTTTTGGACTCAGGCAATGCTGTTTTTTTTTAAGCTTTGTCAAATTTTGTTGTAAAATATGTAAGATGTGCAGTAGTTTGATTAGCATCCTTAACTAAACTAATATTAGTTTTATGTATGTTATATGCCTTATAGCAGTGATGGCTATAGCATCAGGTGCTATAGCCATGGGGGGAATGCAGGGGGGGGAATGCAGGGGGGGCCAGCGTGACCCATAATTCTATGCGCCCAACCCCCTTGTGCATGCGCATACAATCTCCCTGTGCTCCCCCCACTTTTGGCACACGATGGCACGGTGGGCCCATTTTTCGCTCTCCCCAGGCTCCAGAGCCTTTCTATGGCCCATTTGCTGACTTCCGGCCTCCAGAGAGCTTCTGGGAGGGTGGGGAAGGCCGTTTTTGCCCTCCCCAGGTTCCTAGAAAGGCTCTGGAGCCTGGGGAGAGCGAAAAACAGGCCTTCCGGTCCCACTGGAAGTCGGCAAACGGGCCATTTCCGGCCTCCGGAGAGCCACCAGGGGGGTGGGAAAGGCCATTTCCACCCTCCCCAGGCTCCTAGGAAGGCTCTGGATCCTGGGGAGAGCGAAAAACGGGCCTTCCTTCCCCCCCCCAGAGGCCCTCCAGAGGCCAGAAACAGCCTGTTTCCTGACTTCTGGTGGGCCCAGAAGGCCCAAAAATCAGCTGGCTGGCACGCGCATTCGCGCTGGAGCTGAGTTCGTGTGCCCACCGATATTGTTGTGCATGCCACCTCACAGCCTTATCGATTAGTCATTGACTGTAATAGTCAATCTTTCTCTTTCCCTCCTGCTACTGAAGAACAAAAACACGTCTTTTTCATTCCAAAGACAAAAGTTGCGATTGGCAGGGGCGTCTTATTTCCACATAAGCCATGGAAGAGTCTCCTTCAAGCCAGAACCTGGGATACAGCCAACAATTTCTTCCAACAATTTGCTGCCACTAGAGAAAATGATTGCTATTCTAATCATAGAAATAAACACACTCTTCTTCTTCTTTTTTTTTAAAACCCAGAATCTGAATAGGGGACACATGACCTATGGACTTCTTCAATTTCCTTTTCAGGTTAGCTCACCAGAAATATCAGGCCCTGGAGGTTCAATACTCGTTTCAGCTTCATTTGCAGTTATACATTTGTTTCTTGATTATGTGATGCGAGAGGTGGCTTCAAAAAGAGAGTGAACTATCTGGGGTAGGGGTGTAAAACTTGATTTCATTGAGAGCTGTGTCAGGGGGGCTGGGTCGGTGTGGGGGCCGGGTGGGAGTGGATGGGATGGGCATGGCCCTCTGCCAACAAAAACTCAGGCAGGCATGGGTGCCCACCCCCGGGCCCTGTTTTCAGTGGGACAGCCTCCTGCAGCCCTCTGCCACCAAAAACAGAGCTGAGGGGGGCTGCACATGGCCCTCCCAAGCTCCATTTTCACTGGAAGAGGCACCACAGGCCAGTCCTTCACTGTTTCCAGGGCAGCCCCAGATCTAAGCATCCTGTGGGCTGAATCCAGCTCATTGGCCTTGAGTTTGACACCTCTGGTCTAGGGAGCCAACACTTACCTTTTGACCAAATATTCCCAGTTGAGCCGTACCCAGTCCCAAACCATGGTTTTGCCGTAACTATTAAAGGAGATGTATCTCAAGACAGTGAATACATCTTGACTTCTTATGAGGGTTGTATTTTTGATGCAATTTAAGAATCTAGAAATGAAAGAAGCAATTATATCTGATGATTAGCACTCCATTAGCATTGCATAGAAAATGAGATTTAAACTGCTTTTCTCAATCTAGTTTACATGAAGTAAGAAACTTTAAAAAAAAAAAAACTTCGGAATTCCCCAGACATCAATCAAGAAAGATGAAAGGAGCATGTTGAGTAGGAAACTTTAGACGAGACCTTCCTGATAGATTTCTGAATTAAATATGGCATTGGCTATGATTCAGGCACTGTTTTAAGTCACTTGTGCCTCTTGGTTGCTTGAACAAAACACATCTAGTATTCCCTTTCAGTTCCAGTTTGCAAGATTATGTTGTTTATGATGCTTTGGGGAAGTTGTCCATTATTTTGCTTGTCGATTAAAGAATCCCCCGATCAATTTCAAGGAACTTTGCAGTTCACAGATAGTAAAACACAGTAGCTCAAAACTACTGCTTTAGGCAACCCTGTGTATATGAAACCATAACCCATGGCCCTGGTGTAAAAACATTGGTGAAAAACATGTTAGAAAGATAGCATTATATCTATTGGGAAATTAATCATTGATTCTTTTAAGAACAACTTGCTTCCTGCTAAACTTTTATGCCTACTAAGAATACTCAGAACCTCTGCTTCGTGTTCCTCCACCAATCCTTTTTTGTGGTTTTGAGAACTAGGGTTTAAGAAGAGCAAATGAAAACTTCTAATATAGAAAGTTAAAGGTAATTTAAAGGCACCTGTTCAGCAGAGTTATATTTTTCACTGATGCCAGGCCATAGAGAAGCTTCTCCTTTTCTTGAGCTAATGTTGCAGTTGTGTATTTCTCAAACATATAATTCCAGGCTTCCTCATCACCTGAGTGCTGCATCCCAAAACGGTACACCAGGAGACGGATATTTACATCTAGTCTAATATGGAAGAGAATGATACTGTTAGCGAAAGAGGCCTATCTTCCATGCCACTTTGCCTATGGACACCATCTGCACCTGAACATAAATATGTATAGTCACCTTGTTCCAGTTATCCAAGTCTTAAACTGGGAAGAAGCATTTGCTAAAGCCTCTGGGTCGTCCATATTGCATGCAAATTCCAAAACAGTTGTACGAAGGAGGCTGCAGAAAAGGACAAAGGAAAACTATGTTTTATTTGGTTGGTATATGTTATAGTTTACCTATTAAACTTTAGCACATAAACATATTAAACCTACACACATTCAACCCTCAAACAGCAGTGCTATAGGACACATGGCAGTCCATTTCTGAAAATGAGGGGTGGGGTCTGAAAAGCAAGGAGTGGAATATAAGACAGGAACTGTTGTAGGAGGGAGGAACCCCCCCACATAATCATAATCATAAGTTTATTTGTCAAGCATATATAAGATAACAGGTAAAAGTATAAACATAATTTGAATACGTAAAAAGAATAAAGGTAAACAGGAATATTAGGACAGGGACTGTAGGCACACTGGTGCACTTATGCACGCCCCTTACAGACCTCTTAGGAATGGGGTGAGGTTGACAATAGACAGTCTAAGGTTAAAGTTTTGGGGGTTTGGGGAAGAAACAACAGAGTCAGGTAATGCATTCCAGGCATTGACCACTCTGTTACTGAAGTCATATTTTCTGCAATCGAGTTTGGAGCGGTTTACCTTGAGTTTGTATCTATTATTTGCTCATGTACTGTTGTGGTTGAAGCTGAAGTAGTTATTGACAGGAAGGACATTGTGGCAGATAATTTTATGTACTATGCTTAGGTCAGACTGAAGTCGGCGTAGTTCTAAGTTGTCTAAGTCCAAAATTTGGAGTCTGGTGGCATAAAGTATTTTATTGCGGTTAGAGGAAGGGAGGACTCTTCTCGTAAAATATCTCTGGACTCTCTTGATTGTATTTATGTCCAATATGCAGTGCGGGTTCCAGACAGATGAGCTGTATTCAAGAATTGGTCTAGCAAATGTTTTGTATGCTCTAGTTAGTAGTACAACATTACCAGAGAAGAAGCTACACAAGATTAGGTTAAAAACTCTTAACGCCTTTTTGGCAATGTTGTTACAGTGGGCTCGGGCAGTTAGATATTTAGAAATGAGTACTCCAAGGTCCTTGACAGAGTGGGGGTCATCTACAAGGTCATGTCCATCTAATTTGTATTTTATTTTTTGAAAAACATGTCTTTGTTCCTCTAGATATTTTATACAGTACTTATAGAAGATTTCTTCAGGCATCCAAGCTAATTATTTGTTCTGCAGGCATTCTAAAGGGAAGGTATATTCAAATTAGATTGAATATACATGTAGCCCTTGATTTACAGACACAATTGAGCCCATAATAAATGTTGCTGAGAAATTTGTTGTTAAGTGAGCTTTGCCCTGTTTTATGACTTTTCCTGCCACCTCTGTTAAGTGAATCACTGCGGTTGTCACGTTAGTAACATCGTTGTTAAGGGGATCGCATGATCCCGGGATACTGCAACCGTCATAAGTATGAATTTGTTGTTCATATTTGTTCATAGTTGTCAAGTATCCAAATGTAAATCACGTCACCATGGGTATGCTGCAATGGTCATAAGTTTGAAAAAGGGTCATAAGTCACTTTTTTCAGTGCCATTGTAACTTTGAACGGTCACTAAATGAACTGTTGTAAGTCGAGGACTACTTGTAAATATACCAGCTTTTACAGTCTAGGACCTGAATAAAGCAAGCTCATATTTAGAGTTGTACTCCATTCAACTAAACAAAAAGCCAGATCCCAGTTACAGATCTCCTGCAGGGCATATGAAGGTCAAGACGAGAAAGAAATGGAAGCAGAAGCCAATAGAGGTACTCTGTAGTTTCAATGGAAAGCTTGAAAACAAAAATCCAATATTTGTTATGTGATTCATCTGATCATACAGATACTTTGGAAAATGAACAAAACATTTATCACATAAAGGAACTTTTGACACTGAAGGATATTGATTTGATTATTGCAGCATATTCCTTTCAGAGAAATGTTAGATTACTCCATGCCCTATCATATTGTCCCAGGGTGGATCAAAAGCTGTGGGAGGCAGGTTAGGGTCAATGTTGATGATGAAATTAAGAGCGAGGGAAGGTTGAAAGAACTATCAGTCAAAGAGAATTGTACAGTTACACCAATTGTGCTACACTCTTTTTTACAGTGAAAAGATGCGGAAACAATACTAGAAAACACAAGAAAATTATCAATGAAGGAAACAGTGTCCATACAGGACAGGGTAATTTCACATATTTTAAAAACATTGTGCTCCTTATCTGGGAGCATTAAGCTTTAAGACTATCTTCAAACCTTTCACCCAACTCACATTCTTTCTCTTTGTCTCATGTATATGCAGATTAAAAAGCTGATTAGTACAGCTGTTTAGGGTTTTTTCTGGTCTGTTTAACAACTAACAAGGGTGACCATCTTCCTCTAACATAAATAGGATGATTAAATCTCATTATGCACAAGATTTCATTTGTCTGTAACTTTGATCCTACAAATAAAGGAAGGGCTGATAAACATCAGTGGAGTGGCACGTCTAAGGGTCATCTGAAAGATAATATGCAACATACAATGCTCCAAAGCAAGTTTGCATATAAGGCAGTTGAAACAAATGCTTCACCTCTTGATATGGTCATCATCAGTCTCCCATTTCAGTTCACTTGCGATGGGCTTGACCAGGCTACCAAAATACCTCTGAAAACAGAAGCAATAAAGGTTCATGTTGGAATCTCTACATAGCAGTCAGATTTAAATAGTCTAATTACATTCAGGAAAGTTCTTGAGGTCATCAGCATTAAGCAGAACATCAACAGTAAACAGTTGATTGTGGCTTCTATATTATCAACATTAGTACTCTCTACGGTTTATTAAATATTACGGTAGGAATTTGATTATGATTGAAATGGATGGTTTCTGTTTCACTATGGCAGTTCTGTTTCACTATGGCAGTTCATAAAAAAGAACTTTATTTTGAGTAGATGAGGATGGGTATGGTTAAAACATGGTCTTTTTATGGGCTAATCCGAGGCCATAAAACCAGAGACTTTGCATTAAGTGGACTTTTGCCAGTGACTGGAAAGTCACTAGAAGAGATCAGGCGTCAGGAAGCAAAGCAGGTTACTGTTTATCCTGCGGTCATTGTGTCTAGTCAGATAGCCTTCCCACTGCATATGTTTCAACTGCACTACAATTGGCACAAATGTCTGCATTCTGTTGGGTAAACAACAACATTGTTCCAATGAAATAGTACAAGATTGCTGTTTGCTTGAGAGGAGCTGATATTAAATTTCTCTAACAGCCGGTTATTTATACTGTATGTGTGAATGACCCTTGTATCACAGAAAAGGCAAAGTTCTAGAATTCCCCAAACTTAAGTAATGAACTTATTCTTAAGTCTAAAATTACAGAATAGCATACAAATTTTTTATATTCTCCACAAACTAGCTAAGGTTTTTATATTTTCAAGAAAATATCCTTCCTTCCTTCCTTCCATCCTTCCCTCCGTCCTTCCTTCCTCTTCTTCCCTCCCTCCCTCCTTCCTTCCTTCCTTCCTTCCCTCCCTCCTTCCCCTCTCTCCTGTAAAATTATTGCTAATTCAGTTGTGTATCTTCATTCTATTTATGCTTTCAGATATCAAGACCATGAATTTATTTACTTAAAAAAAAAAAAACCTGGGAGAGCCTTCCCTCCTGTTTCTCCATTTCTATCATGATTATCAATATCACCCATTTCGGAGAGCCTTTGTAGATATATCAATGCAAATTTGAAATTCTTTGATACAAAGCAATTTATCCATTGGCCACCTATTCCTGCTCTGCCCCTGATTATATCTACATGCAGGCACATAGTTCGAAACGGAAGCAAATTCTCTTTCTCCTTTTTCCTGCTGATGAAGAGCTCTCCAAAACTCTTCAGAACTCAAAAGCTTAAATGCTGTTTTGTGACTTTGATGCTGGGTAATACAAGTATTTTTTTCCCATGGGGTTTATGGAAATGATGGGGTTTTACCATGGGGTTTATGGAAAAGGAACCTTCCATAGCATGACACTTTATTTAACTTGTAATATACATTTCAGATGGGACACAGTGGCTAAGACCCTGAGCTTGTCAATCAAAAGGTCACCAGTTCAGCGGTTCGAATCCCTGGTGCCGCGTAACTGCGTGAGCTCCCGTGACTTGTCCCAGCTTCTGCCAACCTAGCAGTTCGAAAGCATGTAAAAAATGCAAGTAGAAAAATAGGGACCACCTTTGGTGGGAAGGTAACAGCGTTCTGTGTGCTTTTGGCGTTTAGTCATGCTGGCCACATGACTACGGAGACTTCTTCGGACAGCGCTGGCTCTTCGGCTTTGAAAGGGAGCTGAGCACCACCCCCTAGAGTCAGGAATGACTACCACATATATGTGAGGGGAACCTTCACATTTCAGAAATGCAGTAGGACTCATTTTTTAAAAAAATGACTCCAGATTGATGAAGTCAGTTCTTCAGCATTACTGCAGAAAGCATGTGAATGTGAGGACTAGAGATTTTATTGTTTTGTTTTCATGATATATTCAATTTCATGGGCAACGTTACCTGAAATTTGGGATAGAGTGTCTTATCATCTTCAATCATTTGTCCAATATATGATACCGCTACTACAGCCCTTTGCCATGGTATATATTCTTTCTCATGTAGCAGATATTTTGTAAGGTTCAATGCATCAGCATACTTCAGAAGTCCAGCTCTAAGGGGGAAATGAAGAACAAGGAAAATGAAGAAACCTCTTAGGAATTAAATCCGATGGACTATCACTTATTTATTAATTAGTTATTTAGTTATTGTTGTTGTTAATTGGTAGATGTTATTCCATTCATAAGCCAGCACATAGTGTTTGATGAGCCAATCGTTAGTTTATATAAAATAGATTACACTGTAATAAGAATAAAATCACATGTAGCTTACAGTATGTACTATACATTTTGATATGTTTGTACGGAGAGCAGCGTCACAAAATTTTAAAGATCTGACTAACAGCATTCCAAATTGCAAATTCGGTAAGTATATACTTTCCAGATTCACTGATTCTAGAACTCATGGAGTATCTATACTGCAGAATCCAACTGTGAATGAAGGCTTCTGTTTTCTCAAAAAAAAAAAAAAAAAAAGCTTCTTGGGAACCAAGTATGACAGTGAGAGGATAAACCTCAAGGAATGAAAGGACTTTGGAATTACTCTGCAGTAAGTTCCTCTGTATTCACTGGATATTATTGCAAAGTAAATGTGTATAGGATTGCAATCTTAGCAACAAGAAAATGAATTGTAATATATTTGCAGGTGTCCGTTCACGTATGTTTCTTGAGGTAATATTATGTTAAATAGCTAACTTGTAATGTAGCATCAAATAAACTCTGTACTTCATTAATTTAATTACAAGACCTACCTGGCCAATGCAAAAGCATCATCTATAAAACCAGCACGATCAGCTAGACTAAAATTCTAAGAGGAGAGAGAGAAAAAAATAGCAGTTGACATCAGATGGGTAAAATTAAAATAGTGAATAATCATCTCCAAAACTGAACCAATGATTAATTTCAGCAGACTGACCTGATGGTCTTTTATCATAATACCAGCTAAATCACGCCAGACTTGGGGTTCATAATTGACACGATAAAAACCAACATGATCCTTGTTTACTTTCAAGAAAGAACCGGCAGGAAGATCAGTGGGTCGTGGAATAGTAATTCCTGTGGTGGTATCAACAACAAAAAAGTAGGGAATAAGTTATAAATGTGTTGTATGAAATATCTTTCCAAAAGACAAACATTAGGAAAAGCCAAAACTGATACAACATTGACTTTATTTAAAAGGACTATTTTTAAAAATGCAGATAGGGAGATGCCCAGAGAGAATTAGTATGGGGAGTAGTTTAACATCTTTGCTGACTTCACCATCTCCTTTCCAATAATGGGAAACAGGAGGAAACGGAAAAATTTTCTACCCTTAGACAATTCTCACCAGGATCTCAGCAAAAGTGAAAAAGCTAAAATCCTCTTGCAATATGTTTAATAATTACAAGCACCTGCTTATTCAGCCTCTACAACATTCCTTTCACATCTCATCTATTTTGAGTCTCTGGATGTGGGCAGCTGATCAACTCAATGGTGGAGATTTATGGGAGTTTCCTCAGAATTAGCAACCACATCTGGTTATTGTTTGTCCTCTAACATTTTTTTCAGCAAAACTGCAATGCAATCACCTCCAACCCTACTCCATCTTTACTGGGTAGAACAGGGGTGTCAAACTTAATTTCATTGAGGGCTGCATCAGGGTTGTGTTTGACTGGGGGGGCATGGCCAGGGGCGCGTGACCAGATCAACATCACTTGTGTCAGGCATGCCTGTGGTGGCCCATGTGCTAAAGCAGGACTTCACCCCAGACCCTCCCTCCCTTTCTCATTATAATCTCCTTCCTTCCTTCCTTCCTTCCTTCCTTCCTTCCTTCCTTCCTTCCTTCCTTCCTTCCTTCCCTCCCTTTTCCTTCCCTCTTCATTCTCCTTTCTTCTTCCTTCCCATCTTCCCTTCTTTTTCTTTTTCTTTCCTCTTTCCCTTTCTCCTTTCCTGTCCCTTCTTGCATGTCAAATGCAAAAGGGGAAACATTTTTCTGTTTGTTTGGTTTTGATTTTAGTTTGTTTTGCTAGCCCTCTGCCAGTGAAAACGGAGTCTGGGGGGAAGCTGCGTGCAGCCCCACTGAGCTCTGTTTTTGCTAACAGAGGCACCGCAGGCCGGTCCTTTGCTGTTTCCAGGGTGGCCGCGTGGGCCAGATCTAAGCACCCTGCAGGCTGGATCCAGCCCTCGGGCCTTGAGTTTGACACCCCTGGTGTAGAGCATTCAAACAGTGCCAAGGAAGGGTCCTTTCTTTAGACTGGGTTCACACAATATACTAGCCTAAACTAAAGAAACATTGGTTAGCTATTGTACTTTGTGAGAATTCAGTCCATGTTTTTTCCCTGTTGTACAAATTGAGCCATCACTGTTCAGGCATTGAATAGCATGTTAAGTTAGCCTAAAATATGGCTGGAAAGAAAAGGGCTAAATTTTGATGATTATTGTAGTTCAAATAAATTTGACCATGGTGTGCCTGATGTGGTTTATTCTAACAAAGAATAACAACTAGAATGAGTTCACTTTAAGTCAGAAAGTCTGTAATCTATCCATAAATCAATATGCTGGTACAACTGTAATTTCTGAGTTTCAGATTAGCCATCTTTGTGGCCAAAAATCAGAGATTATTCTGCAACACTTTCTACAGAGACCAAATTGGACTAAAAATCATATTATGCTTTGAGCACATTCATGCACAGACAGGGTGGACTATATTCTATCAGCAGAAGGGAATTCCACCCCTGAACCTATCAACTCAATGATGGAGAAACGGGTACAACCATCTTCCTCGTCTACGAAAAGCATTGACCTGCACTTTTCATATTGCATAGAATGCAAGGAAAGATTCTCCCTCTTTCACTACAGCGGAGAGGCATTTGAGTGGATAGAGTTGACCTATGGGTAATAGTTATTGTTTTTCCACTCTGTGACCACGTCGACATAAAAACAATTGTGACTACCAAGTAGACATGAAAACAATTGTGCCCTTTTTTCACATTCCCAGCAAAAACAAAGTCAGAACTACAAATAAAATCAAACAGTAAAAGCAATAAATATTTCTGAAGCAGCTATAAAGAGATAAATGAATACTATAAACATGTTGTTATGCCAGCCTGCATTCCTAGCTTGCCAGACTGGGAATACACATTTTCCATGTTAAGCAGAATCAGCATTGGGGGAGGTATGCTTTCTGTCACTTACGTGCCCCAATTTCTCTCCCTTTGCTATATTTAGGAGGATTTGAATCCTTAAGAATAAAGAGAGAAAAAGAAGCTGCTTCATCTGAATAGGGAAAAATAGCAGAGAACATTTGCAGGAATTGGGTATGGCCAGTCTAGAGAAAAGAAGGACTAGGGGGTACATGAAAGCAGTATTGCAGTATTTGAGGGTCTGCCATAAAGAAGAGGGGGTCAACTTGTTTTCCAAACCACCAGAAGGCAAGACAAGAAACAATGGATGGAAACAAAGCAAAGAACTAAGGAGAAACTTCCAAACAGTGAGGACAATTAACCAGAGGAACAGCTTGCCTTCAGAAATTGTGGGTGCTTGATCACTGGATCAAGTCCTTCAGGAGTCCTTCGGGAGAAGGGCGGTATAGAAGTTCAATAAACAAACATAAACTGGAGGTTTTTAAGAAGAGTCTGGACAGCCATTTGTCTGAAATTATATTGAGTCCCTTTCACACTATTCTGGTTGACTGATTGATTGACTGACTGATTGATAATTGTTGTAACCATCAACCACCAGGAGGCATATGTGAGTAGGGCATGCATATAATTTCAAGACAGACAGACAACAGACAGATGGAAAGGAAAGGAAAGGAAAGGAAAGGAAAGGAAAGGAAAGGAAAGGACTTTGCATCAAAATTCAGTTTCTCCTGCAGAAATAGATAAAAATTTTATGCAGGAAATCTGCATTAAATTTTGATGTATTAGATTAATTGTTCATCTTTTCTGCTTACGGCTCAGTCCAAATGTGGATTAGTATACATGTTTCCCAGCTATATATTTTGAATAAAGTTGATGAACATGACTATATTTTTCCATGTTAAATTTGAAATAGTGCAAGATTGATCTGAGTATTAAACTAGCCATTTGTAACAGATCTGCGCCATCTTGTGGTGTCACTGGAACATGCATCCTGTTTTGTAACATTCTCCCTCTCCTGCCCTCCCGGTGAGTCCCTGCTGTTTTGAGTTTTGGAGTGATTGGTCACCTTCACTGGTTATCCTATGTACTGCAAAGCAATTCATTGAGAGATGGATAAAGTATCTGCCTGCACAGACAGCTATCAATGATATATCAACAATTTTCAATCAAATATTTTAAAGGCTATAGAACTGGGATATAGCTATCACCTGAGAAGGAACTATGAAAAGAACAATCATTCTTCTTTGTAATTCAAAGTGGTGAATTGTCTTGGCCAACCTTGCTCTTTCAAAAGAAACTCCTATCAAGTTAATACCACTTACTCTGATTTTTTTAGGCTTGGAAACCAAGTTGGATTTGGCCTGGTTATACCTAAATGCGACATCATTTGGGTGGGATTCAGCCGGTTTAGGCAGGTTCTGGCGAACCAGTAGTTAAATTGCTCACAGAAAGCTGCAGGGAGGCCTACTAGGTCCAAAACGGGGCAACGGGGCACCCCCCTGCGGCCCGCTTTTGCTTCCAGGGGGGTTCAGGAGGCCGAGTGCTGCCTATCACACCCCCTGGCCATGCCCACCATGGCCACATCGACCCAGCAGGTCATTAGGGCAGAGAACCGGTTGTTAAATTATTTGAATCCCACACTGGACATCATCAAAGAATTCTACCCTATAGGAGAGACTGGAATTTGAGAAAACAGTTCAGAGGAAAGCAATGTTAAACCACTTTGGTATTAGCCCTCCATGGATGTGATTCAAGAAAATCTTTACTTAATGGATAACTAACTATCCATTAATTTTGATTACCTGCTGATTCTGATATTTTGTAGAATGTTATATTTGATGTATTCCCCTCTTCCCACTTCACTGGAATATTCCACTTGTAACTGAAAATTCAGAAAGGAGACATATTTTTAAAAGAATTTTTATAATGAATCATGCCACCATTTTTGAAAGATACTATAAAAACATATGTGGTTTTGCTGGTTAGAATATTTGCTTCAATATACCAATTTTTCACACGACCATTGCTGCATTCCCATGGACACGTGATCAAAATTTGGACACTGGGCAACTGATTCATATTTATGACAATTGTAGTGTCCTGGAGTCATTTGATCACCTTTTGTAAACTTCTGCCAACCAAAGTAAAGAGCCTTGTGGCGCAGCAGACTAACTGCCTGCAATTATTGCAAGTTCAAATCTCAACAGGCTCAAGGTTGACTCAGCCTTCCATCCTTTTGAGGTAGGTAAAATGAGGACCCGGATTGTGGGGGCAATAAGCTGACTTTGTATAAAAAAAAAAAGAAAAAAAGAACACCGCTTGTGGGGGGGGGCGAAAGCCTTACTAAGCAGGTATATACAAAAGTATGAAGGCTATTGCTTAACACATTGTAAGCCGCCCTGAGTTTCCGGAGAAGGGCGGCATATAAATTGAACTAATAAATAAAGTAGATGAGGAAGCCAGATTCACTTTACGATCGTGTTACTGACTTAACAACTATAGTAATTCACTTAACAACTGTGGCCAGAAAAGTCATAAATGGGGCAAAAGTCACTTAACAACTATCTATATTGTGGTTCTAAGTCGAGGACTACCTGTGTATTAGCTCAGCTATAGAAATTAGCAACAGTTCCAACAATGTAGATGGATGCCTTTACTGTGCTAATCTGTCTGCCCATCAAATTCAGTTTTATTTAAATTTACTTGGCAGCTGCTTTCCTTTAGTGATCTTCTGAACACAAACATATACTCTGTCAGTGAGGAATGAATAAATCTCCAGCAAAGCTACTGACATTAATTCATCAATAGCAATAGCACTTATAGACTTATATACCGCTTCACCATGTCTATGGAGATTCTCAGTCATCCAGGTCATGGTTGTCCCAAAGGTGCTTTTTCAAGAGGCAATTGGACTTTCTGGTTTTTCTTTGAAGACATTTCGCTTCTCATCCATGAATTTTCTTCAGCTCTGTTCCAGAGCTGTTCCAGATCTGAAGAAGCTTCTTGGGTGAGAAGTGAAACATCTTCAAAGAAAAACCAGAAAGTCCAATTGCCTCTTGAAAAAGCACCTTTGGGACTCTTCACAGTGCTTTTACAGCCCTAAGTGGTTTACAGAGTCAGACTATTGCCCCCAACAATCTGGGTCCTCATTTTACCGACCTTGGAAGGATGGAAGGCTGAGTCAACCTTGAGCCTGGTGAGATTCGAACTGCCAACTGCAGTTAGCAGTACTGCATTTAACCACTGTGCCACCACGGCTCAATTTCACTGATTGTAGAATCATGGTTGATTTGGGAGAAAAATAGTGTTACTGCAATTAATTCCATTTAATTCAGTTACCAGTTGGTATAAAAATGGAAGTTACACCACAACTACCTCAGAACGTTCATAGGTTCTCCAGTCCTAATATAAGAATCAACTAAACTATTTTATTATAATATCAATTATCTATGTGAGAAGAACTTAGTAAAGACCATTGAGAAAACAAAACTTCCCCAGTCTAGCAATATCATATCAAACTGTTAGACAGAAGATACCTAAATGGAGAAGATGGCTTGGAGGGATCTGCTTTGGGATCCAATAGAAAACGTTGCTGTGTGACTGTTGAGCTTGAATTAACTTTCAACACAGGATAACCCATCTGCCTGGTCCATGTGTCCATCACTTCTTTCACAGGTTTCCCACTTACCTAAAAACAACAATAGGTGGTCATGCTGGGAGAGTCTTCAACACCAAAAATAGAGATGGTATCAATTTTCCAGGAGGTGTCTGAGCAATTCATTTATTTGTGACAGATATTAAATTGTAGCTGGAGTTTTGGTGGCACATCTTGTTCTAATGCACATTTTCTTTCTCTTGATTGGCTTCTCAGAGTATTTTTAAGATAATCATTTGGTCTTCCAATCAAACTTTGTATTTGGTTAGTACCCCAACATAATGGGTACAACATAGTTGAGGCTCAATCTTTGGTACTTTTTCTTTGAGTCTTGATTTGTTATTTCAGTTTGTTTACTTTACAAATCTAGCCAGCAAATTTTGGCAGTTGGAAGATAAGTGCCCCCAAAAAACTGTAAATTGCTATTAGCCTCAAACTGCTATTAGCATACCATTAATTCATAGTTCTTTAATTCATTTGTGCTTTCCTTGTCTTTTCCTAATTGTGCCATTGCAACAACACGAACAGCATCATTAATGCTAAATTATTATTTCTTCCCTGATGCAAGCTCAGATGGTATTAGTAAAAAGTATGAACTAACTGGAGAGAGACAGAACATACCTCTTCCATTGCGTTCCAGAAATCGTCTGTTTTTGCATTTTTAAAATGATGTTGTGTTAGGTATTTCTGTGGGAGAAAAGAAAGTCATTACATGGGGTTGCAAATTCTGAACATTAGCATTTACCATAACATTTATAAAAAGTTATATTGATTGCTATTAGAACATCTTTCTTTAACTTGTCATCCTCCAGATCACTCTTTGATCATGGTACATGGTTTGGTGCAGCGGACAAACTCTATACAAGTACACAGATAAAGCACGTCACAGAGGCAGCCAAATAAGTAGCTAGTGCTCATTTGTTGTCTAAACAATTCCAGTTCTGATTTTAAAGCATTTCAAGATTTTAAAGTTCTGATTTTGCAGGGCAATTCATCAGATCCTGCTAAACACCCAAGAAGTTCCAGAGGGCTGCAAGTTTCCACTCTGATATAATAGGATATGGATCAGAGGTGGGTTTCAGCAGGTTCTGACCAGTTCTGGAAAACCGGTAGTGGAAATTTTGAATAGTTTGGAGAACCGGTAGTAAAAATTCTGACTGGTCCCGCCCCCATCTATTCTCTGCCTCCCAAGTCCTAGCTGATCGGGAGGAAATGGGGATTTTGCAGTAACCTTTCCCTGGATTGGGGTGGGAATGGAGATTTTATAGTATCCTTCCTCTGCCATGCCCACCAAGCCACGCCCACCAAGCCATGCCATGCCCACCAAGCCACACCCACAGAACCGGTAGTAAAAATTTTTGGAACCCACCACTGATATGGATGTACAATGCTGAGTTTTTAAAAATCTAGTTTGCAGGATGAAAAATAAATAATTTTATTATTATTATTATTATTTATTCAATTTGTATACCGCCCTTTACGGCTATACCTTTTTTTCCCCCCATAAAAGTTCCCAAGGTGAAAAAAAACAACAACCCTGAATTTTAAATATGTCCTTGATTTTAACATGGTTAGAAATGTAACTTTCCTTGACCTTAATTATTTCTCCAAGTGAAAGCTATTTAGGTAAAGTGGGATTGCTCTCGTAACACTCTGCTTCACCTTCCATTTCAATTATTCAAGAACACACATCTTAAAATAAGTCCCCTCATCCATTAAACAAGACAGGAATTTATAATCTAAGCACACTACGTAGGTTTCAGTAAACAAACAACCGAAAAAACGAAAAAAAAGAACACAACTAGAATTCTCTCTCGTTCTTTCACAGCTCTTTGCCCTAATGTACAGCCCAATGCATTTGTCAGGCTCAAAACTGCTGACTCTCAGTGTCACTGCTGGATAAAGAATAGATTTGTCCTTTCAAAAGCATTGAAACTTGCTTTCAGGGACCAACGAGCCGATCCTGCAGATATGCAAGATTCGGAGTGTGGATTTAATTGTCAGGGAACAGCTGGGTTTTTGCTGAATTGTCTTTTAAGTGTTCTCTGCCTCCTCTTTACACACAACACCCTAAACCAGCACTTTTGTTTCGAACTTATTTCCCCCCCCTCTTCTTGTTGAATTTCTACCTGAGGTCAGCTTTTAAACAAAAGAGGTGAGCTTGACAAGAACTGTGCATGAGGATAACTTCTGCTGAATGGGATGCTCTTTATGGATGTACCATGCCTGGTTTACTAAAAAAAAAATGGATAGGTTGATTAAAGGTACATATTTCATCACGTGGCTGTTTTTATCCACAGGGCCACAAGCAAAAAGTGGCAAAGAAGATGCTATCACTACAGGTAGTCCTTGCCTTACAACAACTGGTCTAGGGACTGCTCGAAGTTACAATACCACTGAAAAAAGTGACTAATGACCATTTTTTGCACTTACAACCGTTGCACGATCCAAATTCAGACGCTTGGCAACTGGTCCGTATTTATGACCGGTTGCATTGTCCCGGGGTCATGTGATCCCATTTTGCGACCTTCTGACAAGCAAAGTCAATGGGGAAGCCAGATTCACTTAACAACCGAGTTACTAACTTAACATCTGCAGTGATTCACTTAACAACTGTGGCAAAAAAAGACAGTAAATGGGGCAAAACTCACTTAACAAATGTCTCACTTAGCAACCGAAATTTTGGGCTCAATTGTGGTCTGAGGTTGAAGACTACCTGTATTTCTTCTTCGGATTAATAACTGAGTGCAAGAAAATGGAGATTCTCAATCATCCAGGTCGTGGTTGACCCAGAGGTCCTTTTTTTCAAAAGGTAACTGGACTTTCTTGGGTTTTTCCCTTCAAAAACATTTCACTTCTCATCCAAGATGCTTCTTCAGTTCTTCTAGGTTCAGTTCTAAACCAATAAAAGTTCAGAGGCCTTTTGAAAAAAGTGAACCTTTGGGACAAGTTTCTCTTCACTTTGTGGGGTGGATGGAGGACATGGCTACTCCAATGCGTTCTACAGAGACATGAAGAACATTGCATGTTAGACTTGATAAGACAGTATCTTGGTTGTGCTGTTATTGAAAGTTGTAACAGTTGTGCTGTGAATGGTCATTGCTGACATTGGAAGTTATAAATCAAAAGTATATATTTCCCTTTGTCAGAGCTCATACGGTTTAGTGCAGGGGTGCCAAACTTGATTTCATTGCGGGCCGCATTAGGGTTTTGTTTGACCTTGGGGAGCTGTAATGGGCATGGCCACGGTGGGTATGGCCAATTCTACGTCACTCGTGTCGGGGGCACCTTTGATGGCCTGAGCGCTTTGCCAGTGAAAACGGGCACCCAAGCTCCGTTTCCAGCTGCGATGGTCTCCTGCAACCCTCTGCCAGCAAAAATGGAGCTCAGGAGAGCCACATGCGGCCTTCCCGAGCTCTGCCAGAGGCTGGCAGAGGCACCGTGGGCCAGTCTTTCGCTGTTTTCAGGGTAGCCCCTGAGGGCCAGATCTAAGCACCCTGTGGGCTGGATCTGGGCCCCAGATCTTGAGTTTGACACCTCTGGTTTAGTGAATAAGATGATAATCTAGACAAGAAATAGCAAAATTCAAGTCCCTCTCAGACACAAAACCTCATCAAATATTTTGGGTTAGTCACATAGGCAAGTCCTCAGCCTAGCCTATCTCAAAAGGTTCAGAGGATGTGGTGGGAAAAACTGGAGCAATTGGATTTCTTCCCATGGAAATCTACCATGGACACAATCTCTAGATATGTGTTCATAGTGGCAACGTGGAAGTTGAAGTGAAGGTGAAAGCAATGTTTGTATCTATGTACATATAGACTCAGAAAGTCCCTTCCCCTAAATATGTGTGTCTCTCTCTGTGTGTATGCATTTGAAATGATATGCATGTCAGCAGCAAAATAGATGTGCAGAAAAAAATACACCTAGCTCTGTGTAGTCTCTCAACCTCTTTTGAAGCATATGTATATGCATACATATTTGTAGTTGTATAGTTGTGGTTATAGTTGTAGTTGTAGTTGTTATATGTACCCCAGAAGAAATCTCTTGGTTTGATACCTTGGAAGTATGGTTTGATAAATCATGTTTTTCTTGGCTCTTCCTACATATTTGAATGTTCTGTATTAGAACAATAGATGGCACTGTTTGTCTCACTCAGCACTTCAATGATTTCATGAAGTTTAGTTTGTATGATTATTCCTAGCTTGAATCAAAAGCACAGATCAATTATGCTAACGAATTACATCTTGATCAAGTGTAGAAGGTAGGTAACTTCCTGCACAATCATTATTTCTCAACCAGCAATTATGATATTATTATTATTATGGGCTCTGAAACCTTAACTACTTTGATCTCAGTTCCAGCTCTACTTAATAAATACCCTTTTATAATGTAGGCAGCATGTGGTACCATGCAGTGGTGAAATGTAAAATTTGTTACTACTGGTTCTGTGGGCGTGGCTTGGTGGTGGTGGGGTAATATGACTGAGTGGGCATGGCCAACTTTTTTTTTTTGTTACTTTTAAAACCATTTTTTCTACAACCTCTTCAGCTGAAGAGGTTGTAAAAAAAAATGCTTTTAAAAGCCTCTGACGATCCCAGCTGACTTGCCTGATCGGCAGAGGCTTTTTATTTTACTTTTAAAAGCATTTTTTCGGCCGAAGAGGTTGTAGAAAAAATGCTTTTAAAAATAAAATAAAAAGCCTCTGATGATTGCGTGGTTCAGCTGGGCATAGGAGTGGGGAGAGATTTTTGCTACCTGTTCTCCGAACCACCCGCCGCCATCGCTATCGGATCGGGTGATCCGGTCCAAACCGAGAGCATTTCACCCCTGGTACCATGATACGTGTTCTTTCTTTTAAACAAACTTTTTATTCAAGCAGCACTCTTAAGGCAGAAAGAGATGTGCGGTGTGTGTGTGTGTGTGTGTGTGTGTGTGTGTGTGTCAGAGGTAGGTTTCAGCAGGTTCTGACCAGTTCTGGAGAACCGGTAGCGGAAATTTTGAGTAGTTCGGAGAATCGGTAGTAAAAATTCTGACTGGCCCCTCCCCCATCTATTCTCTGCCTCCCGAGTCCCAGCTGATCGGGAGGAAATGGGATTTTGCAGTAACCTTCCGCTGGAGTGGGGAGGGAATGGAGATTTTATAGTATCCTTCCCCTGCCACGCCCACCAAGCCATGCCACTCCCACAAAGCCACACCCACAAAAATGGTAGTAAAAATTTTTGAAACCCACCCCTGGTGTGTGTGTACTGTATATTGAGATAAATATATCCTCAAAGTGTATTTTGAGATAAAGATGAACAGTATCTTCAGCTTGGAAATAGGGTAACTAGCACATGTTCCATGAACAATGGGGATCATGCAGAGACAAAGATTGACAGCTGGATAGTATACCTGAGCTAATGTAGTTTCTTTAGACAAAGAAAAGTCGTGAGATTGCCCACATGTGTTCTGGGGAGGGGGCAGGTCTTCAGGAGGAAGTCCACAGAGTTCAGAGGGACCTGAGGGTGACCTGTGAATAGAGTACCGGGAGCCACAGAAGAAGAGACTACTCTCACAGCCATGCATGAAGCATGTTAACATGACACTGGGTCTGCCTGATCCAATTCTTAAAGCGTGTTTAAGTGGAACATGTTTAAAGTGTAAGAAGCATCCAAAGTTATCTGGGTGAATGTATTTTTAATCTGGGGAAGATTAAATAAAAAAGAAGGAAGCAATTACAAAGATTTAAAAAGAATTATATGCAAAAGGCTTACTGAAATTTTGGAATAAGAAAGTTAAACAATGGACTGAAGTTTGGATATCACCTCATGTAAAGTATTTAAAACACCTATTTGAATTCAATAAACAGATATGTCCATAGGAAAGAAGAACATTTCAATTTGTTAAGGAAGCTGATTGGTTGACTGTGCTAAACAAAGAGACAAGTGGAAAAAGAAGGGGACCGTGAAGTTTTTAGAAGACCATATGATGACAGAAGTATGGAGTGCTTAAAGGGACTAAAACATTGTTGTCCAACCTTCTGGCTTGCCTAGGCCACTTAGAGTGAGGAGGAATTGACTTGTGCCACATATACATATATAATATAGTTAATGTATATAAATCAAATAATAATGTTAGATGTTTACAGTCTTGTGAGGGCACATTTTATTGTAAATAAATTTTTTCTCTCTATATAAAAATGGCTGTGTGTGTGTATGTTCCAGCATAACTCTGGTACACAGATGACTTACTCCCTGGAAACAAATACTGTAGGGGTAAGACACTCCTAACATCCCTCAGGGTGTTTGTTCTGTTAAGATACAGCCTGTTGTGTCTTAAAATGGCTTCTACTGCCTTAAAATGGTTTCTACTGTACAGCACAGTGGAGTTGCCATGGTAACAGCTTCACAGTACTCCACAAGGGGGCTCCCTCTGGTAAGGGGGAAAATCCAAGATTAGAAATTACATTTAGTCCGGACATTTTCAACAAGGTTTTGATTATTCTTGAGGACAAATGTATGGCCATGATCAATAAAACATTACTGCAACTTGACCTGCCTGCACCACTACGAGAACGACATGACATACTTCACGCAGATTACATACAAGAAAAGAACTACAACGTCGAACAGCTTAGTGCATATATTGCGGACAAGAAGCCACTTCTAAATCAAGATCAGAAAAAGCATACCAAATGATCATGGATCAGCCAGCAAAACAACAAGGTGGTATCAGTTTACTTGACACTTCTGGGGGCACAGGGAAAACATTTTTAACTAATTTAATTCTCACCTAAATCAGGGCTCAGGGTGAAGTTGCTCTTCCTGCCTAATACCGGATTGGGATAAATAAATACCCAGGCAACACTGGGTTATCAGCTAGTTGTAAATAAAATTACCATTAAAAAAAGAATTCAGGGTCTTTTAATCCAAACTCAAATGAAAGGCACTAGGTTAGAGAAGATAGTCCTAGCCAGGTGTAAAAAATGCTACTGGCTCACCGAACCGGTAATAATAATTACTATTACTACTACTACTATTATTATTATTATTATTATTATTATTATTATTATTATTATTATTTTATTTCTATACCGCCCTTCTCCCGAAGGACTCAGGGCTGTATACAGCCTAATTAAAAGCACAAAGACAAACAAAATTTAAAAATAATTATAATTATTAAATAATTGGCTTAGTTATAAAACCCCCAAATTTAAAATCCCACATTTAAAACCAATTAGAATCTTTACATTGATAGCCCGGCCTGGCGGAACAACAAGGTTTTGAGGGCACAGCGAAATATACGGAGGTCGGAGATCTTACGCATTTCTGGGGGCAGTTCATGCCAAAGGGCAGGGGCTCCCACAGAGAAGGCCCTCCCCCTGGGTGTCGCCAGCCGACATAATTTGGCCGATGGCACCCTGAGGAGACCCTCTCTGTGGAAGCGGACTGGCCGGTGGGAGGCTACTGGTGACAGAAGACGGTCTCGAAGGTACCCAGGTCCAATGCCATGGAGTGCTTTAAAGGTGGTAACCGACACCTTGAATCGCACCCGGAAGACCACTGGGAGCCAATGCAGCTCGCGCAGGAGGGGTGTCACGTGGGCACAACGAGTTGCGCCCATAACCACCCGCGCGGCCGCATTCTGGACCAGTTGGAGCCTCCGGGTGCTTTTCAAGGGGAGCCCCATGTAGAGAGCATTACAGTAGTCCAGTCGGGAGGTGACAATGGCGTGAGTGATCGTGCGCAAGGCATCGCGATCCAGAAAGGGCTGCAACTGGCGAATCAGGCGAACCTGATAGAAAGCCCCCCTGGCCACGGCCATCATATGTTCTTCTAAAGACAGCCGTGCATTCAGGAGGACGCACAGATTGCAAGCCCTCTCTTTGGGGGGCAAAGACTCACCCCCAATAGTCAGCGATGGCACCAGCTGACTATATTGCGATGCCATAGTAAAAAAATGTAAAAAAAAAGTTCCAACGATCAGCTGAGTGACGTGCGATCATTGGATTTTTTTTTTTTTACTTTTTAAGCATTTTTTTACTACCAGTTTGGGCGAATAGATAGTAAAAAAATGCTTTTAAAAAGTTTAAAAACGGCTCAGACGATCACGCGGCACAGCTGTGATTGTCTGAGCTGGATTTTTTTACTTTTTTAAAGCATTTTTTAATACCTATTCGCCTGAACCGGTAGTAAAAAAATGCTTTAAAAAAGTTTTTAAAAAGATTCCGACGATCACAGCTGTGCCGCACGATTGTCGGAACCTTTTAAAAAACTTTTTAAAAGCATTTTTTACTACCGGTTTGGGCGAATAGGTAGTAAAAAAATGCTTAAAATATGTTTTTAAAAAGGTTCCGACGATCGCGTGGCACAGCTGTGATCGTCGGAACCTTTTTTTTTACTTTTTAAAAGCATTTTTTATTACATATTCACCTGAACCAGTAGTAAAAAATGCTTTTAAAAAGTTTTTTAAAAGGTTCCCAAGATCGTGTGCCACAGCTGATTTCCCCCCTTCGCTGTTCTACTTACCTTCCCAAGCCTCGTTTTGGCGTGTACTGTGCATGTGTGCGCAGCACGTGTTTGGTGTGAGCTGCACATGTGTGTGCTCAGAGCACGCTTGGTGCACAGCGCGCCTGCGCAGCCAGAGAACCGGAGCAAACCGTTTCAGATTTCACCACTGGTCCTAACCCCTAATTCACACATATCGTCAAAGTCTGTTAATTCACAGCTAAAATCCAATAATTTCTCACAGAGAAATATGTAGTCCAATAATTTCTCCCAGAAAAATATAGACAGCCTCAAATTATTAATCATTTGGGGTTTCATTTCATCAGAATGAATACCTGACATCCAGCTTTGAAGAGTTCTGGTGAGATCCAATCTTGAAGCATTCTGAGAATTGACGCTCCCTAGATAGACAGAGATTTGATAATATTGATAAATAGTACTTCATATACCAATTTGTATTCAAGGTGTTCAAAAAGTAAACAAACAAACAAACAAACCAATGTTCCAGCTTGACTGAATAAAACACACTGATCATGTATGCTCTCCCTATTTCTGTGCAATCCAGAAATACAAGCATAGTATTAGTTATTCTTTGCATTGTAGTAAACTCCTTATAAGCAAGAATTAGCGAAACTAATAAACATTGCTTATCCATTTGTTCAAATCTTGTCTTTACATAAGCAGACATATAAAAATATTCAGTCCCAAATTACTGAACTCAAGCCCTTGTTGGGTTTTTGTGGCTTCACATTGATTTTTTTTTACATTTTGGGGTATATTGATAAAAACCAACATCTAAAAATTCTGGTCTGTTGAAGTTTCTAGTGTCAGGTTCTAAGTAACACCCACAACAAAAAAAGACTCTGAGGCTCGAAGTTCCTCAAGGATCCATTTTATTAGAGATGTCATATTGGCACATCTGGGAAAACCCGAATTTGAAGGCTTCCAGGTCTCCCCCACCCAAATGAAAATCCAAATCCCTACCCAGCACCCACATGTCCATCACATGGCCAAATCAATGCACCATCTTCCCTGAGTCTTCATGCTGCCTGGTGTCGGGTCGATGTTCAGGCTCAGGACCCTGGACAGCACCCCGAAGTTCAGAAAGCTGGTTAAAGTTTAGTGGAGATTCAGGTTAATGTCAGGGTTCCAAGTAACAACCCCTATGAAAAATGACTCCAAGGCTCGAAGTTCCTTAAGGATCCATTTTATTCGGAAAACCCGAATCTGAAAGCTTCCAGGTTTTCTCTACCCAAATGAAAATCCAAATCCCTGCCCAGCACCCACATATCCATCACATGGTCCAATCAATGCACCATCCTGTTGTGGTCTGCCAGCAGCCTGCGGAGCTGGCAGTGGAGTCAGACAGTGAGGAGGCTGGGGAGGAACAAGGGCCAGTCCTGGAGTCTGGGGAAGGCTCGGAGAGGGCTCTGCATCAGAGGCAGAGATGGGGCCAGGGCCATCTGGGAGTTATGCGTGGACTCTGAAGCCTCCAGAGGCAGACATCAGAGAGGCAGAGGAACAGGAGGAGCCTGTTCCTAGTGCACATGTGCAGAGTGCAGAGCTGCCAGAAGACAAGAACAGTTAAAACAAAAGGGACGACTCAGGAGTAAGGCCTGGAGATGATTGGCCCCTCCCATAAGGCTTAAAAGAGGAGCAAAGACACGTGGGACCTTTGCAGAAAAGCAACATTGTTAATTCTGTTCCCAGTCAGCATCTCTATTTGATTCTGGACTCTGTGTGGCTTTGCCAAGTAGGTCTTTGGCAGCGTGTCAAGGGAGATAAAGGTTGGTGATTATCCCGAAGGATTTCTCCCGAAAGACTTTTTGCAACTAATTGGAACTCAGCAATGAATGAACGTAATTCACAGCTGTTGCAATAAAAGAGGTATTTGGTACTACTTGTGTGTTTTAATGACTGAAGAAGCCTAGATCACAACACATCCCAACTGGAGATGCCTCCCAGTCACACCCCTCCAGGTACAGAACAGGATGTCCTTGACTCCCAAAGAAAGGAATGTTATTATGGCTATATATCCCCCCAGCTCCATACAATCCCCCCTCCCAGTTTCTGGCTAATAGTGGCAGGCCTGAAGATCCAATGCAAAAGATGGCTTCCAGGCCTGACATCTAGTTTCCAGACTTCACTAGATAAGTGCTGATAAAAGGCAGCACACAGAGATAGCTTTGTTCAGAAAGGTTTCAACAGTTACTTGTGCATACTAATACTGTGATGAAGATCACTTCAACTTGGACTTCAGTTGGAAGGAGAAAATTTTAATAGAATTCTCACTGATAGACAGCATTATTATAACTAAGTGAGCCTGTGTACAGAGTAATGACTTGTCTTTCACTGGTACAATAATCTTTCCAGCCATCTACAAGTTCCCTGACTTCCAACATTTCCATTAAACCTCAGATAAGGTGAGGAACATAATTCTATGGAACTTTAGAAGATTGGGAAGTGGAGATAGGCAAGGAAACTTCAGGTTAACAGAAGAAACAAAAAATAACAGAAGTACCTTTCTTGATACCTCACAACCATTCAGTATGCACAGGCACCACAAAAAGAAACTAAAGCATACCCTGAGAAAGAGGGACAGAAAACAGAAACGGGGAAAAAAAAACATCTGGAAAATTGAAGATTTATCAGCGCCAAATGAAGATATTATCTGATAAATATGAGCCAGCTCCATTTGGCATGCCGATTCATGTCATTTGTGCCAATTTACACATTTATTACGGTCAGTGGTTTGTTTCCCCATTCCCATTCCAACTTGAAGCAATCCAGTGAGAAAAGTGTCAGAGTTGAGTAGCAAATACATGCTTTGCATACTGATGGTCCCAAGTTCAATCACTGGCATTGCTAAGTTGGAGAGTCTGGAGATCTGTTCATAATCAACCTAGACAACATTGACAGAAGTAGAGTAACGCTCTGATTTGATACAAGACATCTTCCTCATTTATAAACAGATTGCACGCAAACTTTGTTTGCCACAATTCAATCCAGACGTGTGATTTCAGCCTTTAAAAATATGTGGTGATCCAGCAAACACAATTGGCAATTCATGCCTGGTCATGAGTAAATCTTATATGATTTAGACCACAATAGTGTTCACTGTGCAAGCAAAAGTGAAGATTGCGTCACATAAATTTCATACCTGGGAATCCCATTATCAGTTGTAAATTTCAGACCATTTCCTTCTTCTTCTTTTTTTTTCATACCTTGACTATGAAAGTCCCAAATACATATTCAAGAGGCTGACTATAAAAGTAAAAATCCATTTAAACAGCTACTTTCTCTGAATTATATAAGGCAGTAGTGATCAGAATGCATGGCTATTGCAAAGAGACAAGGCCACTTTCATCTAAGTATGAGCCTTGGTAGTACAGTGGTCTAAGGCACCCTGTTATTAAGCTGGTTATTAAGACCAGCTGCCTGCAATTACTGCAGGTTCAAATCTCGCCAAGGCTCAAGGTTGACTCAGCCTTCCATCCTTTCTAAGGTAGGTAAATTGAGGACCCAGTTGTGGGGGCAATAAGCTGACTTTCTATAAATATACAAAAGAATGAAGGCTATTGCTTAGCGCATTGTAAGCCGCCCTGAGTATCCGGAGAACGGCGGCATATAAATCAAATTTTTAAAAAAGTATCATTCATTATTGATACACTGTAGAGCAGGGGTGTCAAACGATGTCGTCACGTGATGTATCACGACTTTTTCACCCGTCGCTAAACCAAACGTGGGCGTGGCCAGCACGTGACACATCTGGGCCGCGAGTTTGACAGCCCTGCTGTAGAGAGTCCCAGATTATACTATAAAAAATATCAACAGATAGGAACAATATCCACAAGTCATTACCAGGACAAAGATAATGATTAATTTACCTAACCGTAACCATTTCCTATTTGTCACTTTATATAATATATATTGACTTGGGCAGCTGTGCCCTTGCAAACCACTAAGTGGTGAAAATTACAGTGCAGCGTATCACAATTATCTAATTATCACCCCAAATACTCTCTATACAGTTATAGTGGCACTGAAAAAAGTGAGTTATAACCAGTACTTGAATTTACAATTGTCACAGTATCCACATGGACATGTGATCAAAATTTGGGCCTTGGCAACCAGAAATTCTGGTCCCAATTAGTTAAGGTTGCAAGTTGTGGACGACCTGTATTCTGTTCCTCTGCTATTCAAGGAAACCAAGTTCTCCATCTTTCCTGCCTCTGAACCACATAGTGCAGATACATATATATATAAAACCAAAGTGTAAAATATATATTCCACAACATTCATCTCATGTTTTTTCCCCCCAAGATCAAAAAAATCAGCTCAAACACTAAACATGTTTATTTTATTTTCTCCCAGTTATACGGGGAAATTTAAACTCTTACTTTGCTGTACGATATGCCATCAAACACAGAAGTTATTTCATCAGGAGAAGACACATTCACGGTAATAGGGTGAGATGAAACCAAAGAATCATCCTTCAGCACTGGGAGTAGGTCATCAATTAAAATTTGTTCCAGCTGTGGAGAAAAAAAAAGAGTTGATGGGAAAAGTTATTATTCCCCAAAATGATTTACTTAATTAGATAAAAGCAGGCTAATACATGAAAAACGATGAGCATAAATAAAATCATGCCACATGTCAATCTCACCTATCATAGGATAAAAGGAGTTTTGGATGGATAGCTAATTAACAGGATAGAGAGCAAAGAAACGTCAAAAAGATGTAGTTAGTGCAGCTCACTTTCTTGATTCTCTAGAATTTTACCTAAGAATTATATAAATATATCTATCATATGCCGGGTTGTCCCCGGTTCGCACCGGTTCTATAGAACCGGTAGTAAAACCGGCGGGAGGCTCCACCCACTGCCCCCGACATCATCAAAACACTTCTGCGCATGCGCAGAAAAGCGCATGAGTGAGTGAAGCGAGTGCGCACGCACGGCCCCACTGCAAACTGGTAGTAAAGGTAAGTAGAACCCACCCCTGATCATATATATCATCATTACATATTGTAAAATAGCTAATATTTGGTCAAGATGTTTTTCTACCATCAAGTTTGATAACTCAAGGAGGAAAATTTATAGATCGAAGCTTCTAAATCAGGGGCATTCAGCCTTAGCCATTTTAGGTCTTCTAGGCTTCAACTCCCAGAATTCACCAGCCAGAAGGGTTGGCTAGGAAATTCTGGAAGTTGAAGTCCACAAGCCTTAACATTGCTGAAGTTGGACACCCCAATTATAAATTTCATATGTCAGAGCTAAGTAACTTAATGAAAGCTATCCCACTAAAAATACCTCAGCAAAGCTGAATTCCTGTTTTAAAAAAAGACAAAACCATTCACTTTATTTGGCTGCAATTCTACAGTATTTTTTCCAGGATGTTTCATTTAGCCTACAGCCCTGAGATCCTGAGTATCTTCTCAATCAAGTACTAACCAAACTTTATGTTGCCTTGCCTTTGACCTCAAATAACTCAAATAAGGTCATCTAATAGCTATCACCTGTTGAGCAGCCATACTTGAGCAGGTGTATCTTATTTAAATTATTAGAAAGGAATGTTTCTATAGATATTTTAGAGCAGCCTTGATACTTTAAATTCTCAAAATTCCTTAGTAAGTGTGGTCATTTATAAGAATTCTGAAGATGGAATCCATATAGTTGGAGGACCTTAGACTGAGGAAGCCTATTATAGCTGTTTGGCAGGAGTGAAAAACCAGGTCCACATGTGATGACGCAATTAAACTGATGTATAGCTAAAATCGTATGCACAGGAAACTTCTCAACTAACTGTTGGCAACCTGCTTAGAGTTAGATAAGGATAAACAGCACTTAAGGTTGAGGGGGTTGGGCTTAGTTCTCTTGTGTCTATATAGGAATTCTAGGCTAATTTATTTATTTATTTATTGGTTCGATTTATATGCCGCCCTTCTCCGGAGACTCAGGGCGGCTTACAATGCGTTAAGCAATAGCCTTCATACTTTTGCATATACCTGCTTAGTAGGGCTTTCGGCCTCCCCTATGTGGTGTTCTTTTTTATACAAAGTCAGCTTATTACCCCCACAATCCGGGTCCTCATTTTACCTACCTCGGAAGGATGGAAGGCTGAGTCAACCTTGAACCTGGTGAGATTTGAACTTGCAGTAATTGCAAGCAGCTGGTGCTACTTAATAGCACTTTAGTCTGTTGCGCCACCAAGGCTCTTTTCCCCTTTTCACTCCACAGCCAGATTCTATCATCCCTTTTCCTACATTATTCTATGAAACAATGAATCTCCAAGTCCATGCTGGAGATTCAACAACTCGGTGAAAATGCCTGTTTCCTAAAATCCTGGATGGACTATTGAGAAGCTTAAGTACTCTCTAATATAGGCTCTCTAATATAGGCTGCGCCTTGATGGCGCAGCAGACTAAAGTGCTGTTAAGTAACACCAGCTGCCTGCAATTACTGCGAGTTCAAATCTCACCAGGCTCAAGGCTGACTCAGCCTTCCATCCTTTTGAGGTAGGTAAAATGAGAACCCGGATTGTGGGGGCAATAAGCTGACTTTATATATATAAAAAAGAACACCGCTTGGGGGGGCCGAAAGCCCTACTAAGCAGGTATATACAAAAGTATGAAGACTATTGCTTAACGCATTGTAAGCCACCGTGAGTCTCTGGAGAAGGGCGGCATATAAATCGAACCAATAAATAAATAAATAAATTTTCAACAATGATCAGTATTCTAAGATCAGCATTATACTAATAATAAATTTATTAAAAAAGGCTAGAAGTCAGTGGTTGTGGGGCAGAACACGGGGCTTCAAAACTGATTTTAAAAAGCCCTTGTTGTATTTTTGGGGGGCGGGGGAAATTCAAACAAAATCCTTGGGCTAAAAAATGTCCATAAACATGAGTAATACTTCCTTTGTTCATATTCTATAATTATACAAAGACAAGAATTCTTACCATTTGCCAATTTTTTTCTTTAGCATTTACACCCATAAACTCAAAGAAACTGGCAAATCCTTCGTTTAGCCATAAGTCATCCCACCAATCCATGGTCACAATATTTCCAAACCACTATAATAAGTAAAAAAAAAAAGCAAACAGCATTACAAAAGAAGATGAATAGGAAGAGAAATGTATCATCCATAAATGAGCTATTTAGATATTGCACAAGATATTTTTTTCCTTTTGTTGGAAAATAACACAAAGGCAACACAAACCACGGCTCAAAAATCCAGTTTTCTTCCAAGAGCTTCAGTTTTGCATTTAGATGGGTAATAACTGAGAAGGGGACATTTTTAGTGGCAAAACTCTATCATTTGAAATGAAAATTTACTGCTTTCTCTTGTCAAATACCAATCTAAACCATTGTAACTTGCCCATATGTTGAGCAGCTATAATTATGGTGCTTTATTATTGAAGCTTTATGTTTGCCTGATTCCAAATAGTTTTGTTAAATATTGACTGCATTTGCATAAACATTTATCATATGGCATATCCTCCTTCCATGTTCATAAACATCTTGTTTAAACAAGTATAACTATAAGGAGCCCTAGTTTTTTTCGTTTCCATTTTCAATATATTTGCAGTATATATATATATATATTGTATAGGTACCAGTATATGTTGAAGATAAATATTACCAAATTTCTTCACACATTTTTCTTTTCCCTTCCTTTGTGAGAAGAGGAGCCAAGAGAAAAGAGTCCTTATACATAGCACAACTCTTACAATTTAGCATGATTTATATATGCTGAATAATACAGAGACTGAAGAATAGCTACAGCTTTATGCTGTAGCAGCTGCCAAAAGTAAAGCCCCATCTAAAAATAAAATATTGATAAAGGATGAGATAAAACCTGTTTGTGAAATATATCCGAAACACCAAATTAACCTACTGTAATTATTTTATACCTCAGAAGGAAACAGATAAAATTCCTGACAAAAATGATTTATACGATAAGCACATTATAATTTCCTTGAATATAATAACGTATTTCGGTTTCGTGTTGACAACAATATTCGGTAAATCTCCAGAGGCGCTTTGCATAGTGAGAGGGGTGGCATATAAATGTAAGAAATAAACAAACAAACAAACACACTATACCTGATGGACAAGTTCATGTGCAACCACAGCTGCCACTCTTTGCTTGTTTGAAGCAGCAGATTCTTGTGAATCGTAAAGGAGATTAGTTTCTCTATAAGTGATCAGCCCCCAGTTCTCCATGGCCCCGGTGCCAAAATCTGGAATTGCTATTTTGTCTAAATGGAACAAGAGAGATGTTTTCTTAGTATTCAAACTATTCCATTTCCCTCTAGTCCACAGGTGTCAAACTCGATCGCATCACATGATGTATCATGACGTATCACAACTTTTTTTGCCTTTGCAGAGCTCAGGTATGTGTAGCCTGCATGTGATGCATCCGACCCATGGGCCGCCAGTTTGACAGGCCTGCTTCACAGCCCATCTGCCTCTCAACAATCTGACAATGCCTGCTTCGGTGCTTCCAGTACAGAAACTCAGTGCCGGGTATGACACGAGGCCACTACCCCATGAGCCCCCAGACCCCGTGGTCATAGGGGGCCAGACCCATTATGAGATGTAGCAAATCCTCAATTCGAGGTGGCACAGGAGACAACTCCAATATTTAATCAAGTGGAAGGGTTACCCCTTATCAGAGGCATCTTGGGTAAAGAGTCGAAACATCCAGGCTGATCGCCTTATAGCCAAATTTCATGCAGAAAATCCAAACAAGCCAGGTGGAGGGTCACGTCCCTAAACTCTGCATCTGTACTCAAATTGTTTTGCTTTGCGCAGGTCGCCCTCGGGAAGTGAGGGGAGCCGAATGTCAACTTGCAAAGCTTTCAAGTTGCCATGAGCAGGAGGGAGGGAGAACTGATAGAGCTGATTGATTTCCCTAACTGAAGTGCATTCCATACATTCTTCCTGACCGCAATCAGAAGGAGGGTGTTGGATTTCACAGCCAGCCAAAGTGGTTAATTGGAGAATGTGATTTATGACATGGCCAGAGAGGAGGGACAGGGACATAGGGGAACGTAAATCTAAGTGGGATTAGTTCTAACTGCATCCAAATATTGCCGAAATGGTGCTCCTAATAAATGACTGTATTTCTTTGGAAGTTCGGCTCATGGCTCATGAATTAATTAGGGCATCTTTCGGAAAGTTCACAACAGGATAATACTTATGAATACTTAAGAGCCTGGGGGCGCAGTGGACTAAGTGCTGTTAAAGTAGCACTTAGTTGCCAGCTGCCTGCAATTACTGCAAGTTCAAATCTCACCAGGCTCAAGATTGACTCAGCCTTCCATCCTTTCGAGGTAGGTAAAATGAGGACCCGGTTTGTGGGGGCAATAAGCTGACTTTGTATAAAAAAGAACACCGCTTAGGGGGCGCCAAAAGCCCTACTAAGCAGATATATACAAAAGTATGAAGGCTATTGCTTAATGCAAAATAAATTGCGTTATATTGTTATATAAATAGACTAAGCCCATCCTCACAATACTTCTCTCTTCCAGTAGGGACTAAACCTCTGGTCCCTTGATCGACCCAGATTGGATCTTGCAAAATTATCTTTGGATGTATATATTCATTTGTGAGTACTATATGTAATAGACATGCAATCAGTCCATCTTTCACTACACACAGTAATACTTTTCACTGTTTCAGCCAGAGTAATTTCTATAGATTCTTCCTGTGATTAGGTTGATTTGATAATGGGACTCAGAAATATTTATTGATAAATTAATGAACTAAATCCACATGTAATTAATCATATCTGGCTCTATTCACCATGAAATATAAGAGCTTGTCTTTATAGCAGATAATCAATATTAGTTCTAATGAAAGAGATGGACTCAACAATCCTTGGAGGGCAATATTGCCACCAGCTTATAAATCAATCTGCTTCTCAGATGGAGAAGTTTTATGCAAGAATTTTGGACCCCAAAATCCCCATATCTTCTTTATGGTTTTTCAACTCAGGGGACCCTCGGGGGAAGGGTTACCTCCATGGAGACCCAGAGATCCCCCAGGGCGAGCTGGATGGGGGGAATGAAATAGGGCAGCATTATCAGAATGGAAGGTTGAGGGATTTACAGGGGTCGGAAAATGACTACAAACTTATGCGGTTTGAATTTCCCCTCCCTCCTCCTTCCTTTGGACCGAGTTTAGGCCTATGGGCCTTATTACGGCTACAGCCACCCATCTATCTTGGCCTGCTGAATTATTCCTAATTTTCCCCCTTCTCTATCTAGCCTGTCTGAACTCCCTGCCATGTAAAACCTCTTTGACGTAAATTTACAAACTTAAACCTCCTTCTGAGCAGGATACTTGGACTCCCGGATGCTACCAATCCCAGGAGGGATACTGGTTCTATGGACGTAAGGCCGATTGGAGGCGGAATATGGCTATCTTCATGCCCGGGTTTCCATCAACGTTTCCATGGGTTGGCCTAGGTGAGAGGATGGCTGCCCTGGAAACCTCCGGGGTCGAATGATATGCACCTCCTTTGCCATTGTCGTGAGAGGACAATGGAGCTTGGCGGCCTGACCATGGACTGGAATTTTCCCTACGTTTGTAACATCGGTGGTCCCCCTACCCTTGGACTTTGGCTCCCCTGATGATTATATGTATTCGGTATTGGAACTCCTCACCCTGCGAGATTCTCCCCTCTCGCAGGTTTGGCCCTCCACATTATCGAGGGCCTATCTCGATGACGGACTTTGGAGTCCAGAGAGATGGCATGGAGCAAGGAAGAATTTGTGGGGTTTTCTAGGGAATTTTTTAAAGATTTTAAGGGGTTCTGGGAGGGGGGTTTGTAATAATCTTTTTAGAGAAATTGGGAAGACGACTCTGGGGGATGGGGGGGGAAATCCACCAGGATCAGAGCCGAGCCCAGCACAGGGTAACGATTTGGGGGGCGCTGGTCGAGGGATTGGGAAAGGGATGGGGGACGATACCTATGAGGTTTGTACCATCAGCACGGTAGATGGGAGGGGCAGATATGGCGGGAGCAGGGGACCATATCATGTGTTGGGGGCTCGCACTCGCTGTCTGAGAGCAATTGCTTGCCCCGGTCCCCACAGCTCCGCTCGGAGACTAGGTGGCTTAGATACTCAGGATCTGGGCCTTCGGCTGATGCTATGCAACACTAGGTCCATGGTAAATAAGCCCCCCCTCATTCACGATCTTATACAAGAGGGAGGAGCAGACCTGGCAGGTATTACCGAGACCTGGTTGGGCCCGGAGGGCGGCGTCCATCTGGTTGAAATGTGCCCACCAGGCTTCAGAGCATTCCATCAGCTGAGGGCCCAGGGGAGGGGAGGGGGGTGGCGGTTATTATTAACAAGGATCTGGGTCCAAGGGAGACCACTGTGCCTCAGATAGCTGGATGTGAGGCCCTCCTTGTGAGGTGGGGTCGTGGGGTTCAGATGGGCTTGTTGCTTACGTACGTGTCTCCCTGCCATGTGGCAACAGCCCTACCTGAGCTACTCGACATGATAGCCACAGTGGCAGTAGATACACCCAGGCTTTTAGTCATGGGTGATTTCAACTTGCCATCCGTCGGTGAAACGTCTGAGGTGGCTCGGGAGTTCATGGCTTCCATGACGGCCATGGACCTGACCCAGTTAGTTCATAGCCCTACTCACAGGGGAGGTCACACTCTGGACTTGATTTTTGTCTCTGGCCAGTGGTTGAGTGGTCTTGTTATAGGGAATATAGATATGGAACCCTTGTCATAGACTGACCACTCGCTCCTTCGCCTGGATCTTCGAACCGCTACCCCTCACCGCAGGGAGGCGGACCCAATTAGATGGATCCGCCCCAGGTGCCTGATGGATCCTGATAGGTTCCAGATGGAGCTTGGGCCATTTCCTGAGGATCTAGCACATGACTCGGCCAAGGACCTGGTAGCCGCCTGGGACCGGGCGGCTGGTGGGGCCTTGGACCGAGTCGTGCCTTTGCGGCCTCTGACCCGGTGCCGATCCTGGGCGGCTCCTTGGTTCATGGAGGAGCTGAGGGAAATGAAGCGCCGGAAAAGACGCCTGGAGAGCGGTTGGAGGGCCAGTCTCGCTGAATCTGATCGAACACTGGTAAGGTCGCATATTAAGGCCTACCTAGTGGCGATAAAGACAGCAAAGTTTAATTACTTTTCCGCCTCTATTGCATCATCAGGGAATCGTCCGGCCGCCCTGTTCAGGGTAACCCGCTCCCTGCTCCATCCAGGAGTGCGGGAGAATCCCTTGGAAGGCAGGGCGGAGGATTTCGGACAATACCTGTATAACAAAATCGCTCAGATCCGGGGGGATTTGAACTCTGACTGGGTAGATCAGGGCAGGGTGACGAGGAATAGTCTTGAGAATGTTATCTGGGAGAAGTTTGATGCTGTGACTCCCAATGATGTGGACAGGATTTTGGGGAGACTTAGTGCGGCCACATGTTTACTGGACCTGTGTCCCTCCTGGTTGGTACTGGGTTCCCGGGAGGTTACACGAGGCTGGCTCCTGGGTGTTATCAACGCTTCGTTGAGTGAGGGTTACTTCCCCGCCACGTTGAAACAGGCGGTGGTGAGGCCTCTCCTCAAGAAGCCGTCCCTGGATCCAGCGATATTGGCCACTACCGTCCTGTCTCTAACCTTCGCTTCATGGCAAAGGTTGTTGAGAGTGTGGTCGCGCGACAGTTTCTGCAATTCCTGGAGGAAACATCCTATCTAGATCCGTTCCAGTCGGGTTTCAGGTCTGGGCACAGCACGGACACGGCATTGGTCGCGTTGGTTGATGATCTCTGGAGGGCTCGGGACAGGGGTTGCTCCTCTGTTCTGGTCCTGTTAGACCTCTCAGCGGCTTTTGATACCATCGACCATGGTATCATGCTGCACCGGCTGGAAGAGTTGGGGGTGGGAGGCACCGTGTTATGGTGGTTCTCCTCCTTTCTCTCCGACTGGTCGCAGTTTGTGTTGGCAGGGGGGCAGAGGTCGACCTCGAGGCCTCTTATTTGTGAAGTGCCGCAGGGATCGGTCCTCTCGCCCCTTCTGTTCAACATTTATGTGAAGCCGCTGGGCGAGATCATCCATGGCTTCGGGATGAGATACCACCAGTACTCTGATGACACCCAGCTGTACATCTCCACCCCAGGCCACCCCAACGATGCCCTTGAAGTTATGTCCCAGTGCCTGGAGGCTGTGCGGATCTGGATGGGGAGGAACAGGCTCAAGCTCAACCCTTCCAAGACTGAGTGGCTGTGGCTCCCAGCATCCCGATATAGTCAGTTGACTCCATCACTTATTATTGGGGGTGAGCCGTTGGCCCCCACAGAGAGGGCTCGCAATCTGGGAGTCCTCCTGGATATGCAGCTGTCTTTGGAGGAACATCTGACGGCTGTAACCAGGGGGACCTTTTGTCAGGTTCGCCTGATTCGCCAGTTGCGGCCCTTTCTTGATCAGGATTCCCTGTGCACAGTCACTCATGCCCTCGTCACTTCTCGCCTTTTCTACTGCAACGCTCTCTACATGAGGCTCCCCTTGAAGAGCACCCGGAGGCTCCAACTGCTCCAGAACGCAGCAGCGCGGGTAGTGACGGGAGTAGCATGGCGCTCCCATGTAATACCGCTCCTGCGTGAGCTGCACTGGCTCCCACTGGTCTTCCGGGTGTGCTTCAAGGTGTTGGTTATCACCTTTAAAGCACTCCATGGCATAGGGCCTAGCTATCTTCGAGACCGCCTGCTGCTACCGACGACCTCCCATCAACCCGTGCGCTCCCACAGAGAGGGCCTCCTCGGGGTGCCATCAGCCAAACAGTGCAGGCTGGTGACCCCCAGTGGGAGGGCCTTCTCTGTGGGGGCACCCACCTACCCTCTGGAATCAGTTGCCCCCAGAGATAAGGAGAATCCAAGACCTCAGTGCCTTCCGCCGTGCCCTTAAAATCCATTTTTTCCAGCAAGTCGGGCTGGCTTAAGAAGAAATTTTAAAATGTTTTAATTGGTAGTGATTTTTAATTGGGCCAAATTTATATATCTTTTAATTGTTTTTAATATTTGTATTGCATGTTTTTAATTTTGGCTGTACACCGCCCTGAGTCCTCAGGGAGAAGGGCGGTATAGAAATTGGAAATAAAATAAAATAAATAAATAAAACATGGATTTCTTAACTGATAGCTAATATAAATTTCTACTTCCTTTCTACTTATATCTATCACAGTTAACTCAGCACTTGATAACACTTATTTCATCCTCACAGTAAACATTTTATTGACTGAAAGTACTTCTAAAGAGTGCTTTATTGAGTGGTCACAAAATTATAAATAAAAATACCTAAATAAATGCATAAATGTGTTAAAAAACCTATAAATCTTGCTTAAAGTAGATTCTATCCAATTCAATTGTGATATGATAAGCTTTCTCAATTACTGGTTGACACTACAATTTTAAATTGTTTTCCAAAACATGGCAATGACATACAATATGTGTGATCCACAGCCAGAAAATATCCAAAGTTAAGACAATCAACAGCGATTGAATACCTTCCTTTACATTGCTTGAAAGCCAGATATGTAGTTTAATGTAATGCATATGGTTTGCATATATGTTCTGTGGTTTAAGCTTATTCTGATATAAAGATTCTGTTTTAAATTGGTTCCACTGTTTGTACTTTTTTCAGCCTGATGTACTTTTCCCCTAGTTGAGAAATGAGATTAAAACGGCTTGAAAAGAGAAATCTGTTGCCAATCTGAACAGATTATACTTGTTGCTATGGACCAATAATTGGATGCCTATAAAACACAACTGTGAGCAACAAAAAGGCAATTATTTAAACTTAATTTTAGATAAAACAGAAAATTGTTTATGTGTTCTCTGAAAATTGTAAATTTTCAGAGGACACATAAACTGAAAACAAAATTGTAACATTCATTAAAAATGAAGAATAGAAATTTACCCAGTTTTGGAAGAGAATAGCTCATGTTGAAATAGTCTTCAAAGTAATCAAATACATCTTTGGTTACGTCTGCTGCATAGATGGCTGTTTTTATCTGGAGTGGTTGGGCATAAATGCGGAGCTGTAAAACAATGGAGAAGATGTTATAAGAGAGATTTCACCTTGATACCATATTTCTTCAGTTACTTCTTCTTCTAAAAGCTAACCTTCCTGATATGATTTAGAGCCGTGGTGGCGCAGTGGTTAAATTGCAGTACTGCAGGCTAATTTTGCTGACTACCAACTGCCAGTAGTTTGGCAGTTCAGTTCCCATTGGCTCAAGGTTGACTCAGCCTTCCATCCTTCCGAGGTCAGTAAAATGAAGACCCAGATTGTTGGGGGCAATATGCTGGCTCTGTAAACTGCTTAGAGTGGGCTGTAAGGTGCGATGATAGCGCTGTAAAGCACTATAAAGCAGTATATAAGTCTAAGTGCTATTGCTATTAAGTGGAGCTACAGGTAGTCCTTGAGTTACGAATGGAATGGAGCCTGCCCAGGCCGCAGGAGGCCTCTGGATGGCTGAATGGGGCAATGTGCAGGACAAATGTTGCAGAGCCTCTGCAGTTGTTCATAAGGGCAAACAACTGCTTTGGTGCTGCAAGATTCGTAGTTTTGGGCCTCATTCAAAAATGCTAGGGGGCGCTGCTCATGTAACTTCAAACGTTTGCTAAAGGAACACTCATAACCGGGGATTACCTGTATTAAATTATGGACAAGTGATATTTTTTTCAAACAATTTTACTAGTAAAATTGCATATTTTAACAGGTTTATTGATATTGTTAGTATCCTTAATTAATGTAGTCCCACACACAGACACACACACAGACACAAAATAATTGTAATTTGGACTTTCATAAAGAATTATCTCTGTGGATTATTTATTAACTGATGTTCTCAGCATCTTGCATTTAGTACAAGCATAAAATATATCAAGATAACCATAGATAATATAGTGTTCTATGCAAAGTCCGAAATGTTTTGGATATTATGAGAGTTCTTTTTATGCCTTCAGATACGACACAATTCTTTCTTTTTTTATTGTTAATGTAACCTTCATTAACAGAAAAAAAGCCAACATTTGGTAAGATACAATATCAAAGCACTAGAGCAATCTACTTGAACAGGATCCTGTTAAATTATAACTTTGGGTTTCTTCTTATTTGAATTCAGAAATTGTGAATCTGAACTGAATTGAAAACATAGTCTCAGGTAGCAAATGTTTGTTCATTATAGTCTTGAATAAAGAATCATGGGATTGGGAAGGTCATCTTATCTGATTCATTCTATACGTAAGTCTCTATTTTAATATTGAAAGAGCTTCCAAAGCAGAGTCACATATTAGGAGGTTTATCTTATTATTTCATTGAAATTTGATTCATTGAAATTTCTAGTCAATTTTTCAACTCCCACACGAATAGCAAAAAAAGTATGGAAGAACTGGATATGTCTAATCTAGCAAAGAGAAGGATTAGGGATGACATCATATCCAATATTTGAGGGGCTGTCACAGAGTAGAGGGAGTTGACCAATTCTCCAACCCACCTGAAAGCAGGAGAAGTAGTAACAGATGGAAGATTATTATTAGGGAGAAATTTCCTGATAGTGAGAACAACTATTCATTGGAACAGCTTGCCTCCAGAAGTTGTGGGTGCTTCTTTTTAAGAAGAGATTGGACAGCCATTTGTCTGGAATGGCACAAGCATGGCATGGACTAGAAGACCTCCAAGGTCTCTTCCAGCTCTCTTATCCTATAATTTCTATGACCAACATGCATCACCTATACACATATCTATTAGGAGATATCAAGATTTTAAGCAATTGCATGAGGTCATATGGAATCAAATTTGATTTGAAAGGGAAGTTACTTTTTATTTTTTCATTCAGATGGTAGCCCATCACAACCTTGACAAATAACTCCTAGAAATAACAAAAGATGTGCTACTAATTCACACTAACTTGTGGTGGCCTACAATACAGTAAATAAAACCAAAACTAAATAAATTCCAATTTAAAGGTTCCTATTAGTCTATATATTAATACTAATATTATCCTATTAACTCTATTATCTATCCTATTATCATCTTTCCTATTACCTTCTCCTATTGGTATTTTATGATTTATCACTTTGTTGTTTGTATGTACACTAAAGCTTATGCACTGGAGACAAATTCCTTTTGTGTTCAATCACACTTGGCCGATAAAGAATATTCTATATTCTATTCTAAAAAAAACAAGCAACAATATTAGTAGGATAATAAAACATCAGTAACAATAATAATCTTATTATTGTAATCGAGCTGAATCCACATGGAGGCAAACAATAACTTCAAGACCCCATCGAAGAGTTCCATTGCAGTTTCTCTCTGGAAGGCTGCAGGAGTAAGTGCCAACAGGGAGAAGCTGTGTTCCTCAAGATGGGGGTCATGAAAATATCTCGACCTCAGTCATACAAAACTTAAAATGAGTACTTTGAATGGTTCCCCTTGGAAAGGATGCAAAGCATTTAAAATAAATATTTCTTTGAGTGGAGCTCAGTTATGCACAGAAGCACATTCCTGTATATTTATCGCCAAATATAATACAAGAAAGGTTTGCCTTCTTGTAAGATATTTCTCAATTTTCCAACCTAGCGTAGATTTTCCTATTGCTTTCTCCATCCAAATAACCAGGGCAGAGCCTGCTTAGTAGAAGTGGGGAATGGGGGTGGGTAGTGGGGGGTGATAATCAGACAAATTTGGCTAAATGCTGCCACCTGCTGTGTCAGTCCTCCACCACATATATCTGGTAGATTGTAGTGTGCTTGGTGGTTCACAGAATGGAGTGGCTTCTTTTCAAGGCTGGTAGATGAGTATTAGGACATTTTCCACAATGTGTTATATTTAGATGAAGTTTTATTTCACACTTACTCTGAATACACGATTTCATTCAGATCCTTAGATAAAACTATAAGTGACAAGTATCTTCTCAGCATGTAGCATAATAACATAATTAGAAGGAAGGCAAGCTTCAAAATTACAAAGTCTTTACTAAAGCTTTAGTACGTGATGTAAGAGAACTTTGTGAAGTAGCACAATTAAGCAGAAAATGATAGGATCTCTTTTTGCAGACAGAGAATCCCAACCATGGGAAAATTACTAAGGATATGACTTTTGGTAAAAGCTATACTTCGCTTTTCATTCTGCAAAGCAAAACTTCCTTGGGAAAGATTGCGAAAACAACCAATGTAGATAGAACTTACCGGAATTCCACGAGATGAATTTCTTTCTTCATATTTAAACTGGTGCACAGCCCAAGCCACCAAGTAAGTACTCATTGGCACAGATTTCATGAATATTGTCTTTGTCCATTTGTTATCTAATGAAACTGTTTTCTGGAGAATAAAAATATGGAAGAAATAAATGAAAATGAAGCATTTCTGCAAAGTAAACAATTGTCTGTTATGATTCTTTTATGTACAGAATGAAATCCAGAACCTCAATATTTTTCATTGTTAATGTTCTTGTACGATAGAACTGCATCTAATTCAGTTTTCTGAATCTCTTTGTTGTCATCTTGTTATCCTCTGGATTTTTGCATCCCATTTATGGTGAGCCAAAATTATCTCTTTTTTGTTGCTGGAATATTGCTGAGCAGAATCTTCCTACTGATTGCTCTTTCTATCTTGCAATAATTTTTTTTCTGCTGAATATAATTTTTATTAAGGAATTTAATTACAATAGTTGAAACCAATGCATGCTAAACTTAGGAAAACTTAGAAAAAGGAAAAGAATGGAAGGCAAGAATAAAAAGTGCACACCAAAAAAAAGAAAACAAAGAAAAATAAAGAAATGGCTTACAACCTTCATCACAAGTACAAATGAAGTTAATAACTCTTCACCCTCTATAAGGTTAAACAGATATCTCTTCATCAGATATCTTATTCCTTACGTATAAGCACATCCACAAAACATAAAGTTTTCAATCATAGAGTCAATAAAAGACCATAAATTATTCCCAGAACCTAGACACACATAGAGAGAGACAGAGACAGACAGAGAGAAAGAGAGAGAGAGAGAGAGAGAGAGAGAGAGAGAGAGAGAGAGAGAGAGAAAGAAAGAAAGAAAGAAAGAAAGAAAGAAAGAAAGAAAGAAAGTCTTAATTTAACCTTAATCATTAAACCAACTGTATATTATTTCCTTTACTGTTAACAATTAGTTTGCTTCAACAGATTGAAACTTTAATTCAATCAAATATTGGTGTAGAGTTTTACTTGTCTTTATTCTGCTCTTTGTCAAGGTTTTAACAATCTCTTTTGTAAATCCAGTAAAACCTTCAGTCAGTTTCTTTTGCATATCCAGTAAAGTACCCTTTCCAAAGCATTCTCTTGGCTTATCATTTGAGGTTCCATATTTTATACTTTCTCTGACTTGTCAGATAAAATGTGTTCCACTTCTCCCATTCCTTCATTACATCAAATGCAAACTAACAGTATCAATATTGTAATTACTAATTCCTGTCTTGACCCCCATTAATATTTCCAACATTATAACATTTTGTGTCATATTATAAGTTCTATCATCAACTAACATCAAGAACAGGCTTGTATTTTCTTTTATCCTGCTTAAATCTTAAGTACTCTCTAGGATTTAGTTTCTAATGTCATCACTTATCTTGTGTTATGACTTGCAATAGCCGGGATAGCCAAAACAAATCTGTTTCCCACAGAAAGTTATTTATTTTTTAAATAACCTTATATTAAAAATAAATATTAAAAATAAATTAACTCTTAATCCTCTTACAACTTTTTTAGATCAAAATCTTACTTAGCTTTTTGCTGTTTATTTCAAAATTTAAATTTAAGCTTAAATCTTTACGAGCTTTATGTCTTATCTTTCTTCTGTTCAGAATTGCAGATAAACTCACCCAATGAAGACTTTTGAAACTTGTCATTTCAAAGATCTCTAATAGTTTGAGATGGTTAATAAGCAACTTCCGAAAGTAGTTAGGAAATGTCCAGCTTACCAGAAATGTAATCAAGTCTACAAAGTAACTTCATTTCAATTTTTTTTAAAAAAAATTCTATATGCAAACCATAACTTTTTTTTCCTAGAAATAGGTTAGGGAACCTAACTACAATTACTTAAGGATGCCTGCTGATAAGCAGATTCCACTGAGCTCAAATGCCCTTATTTCCAGGTAAATACACTCAAGGCATTAAAGTCAGTCCCTATTATACTCTTTTGATGATATTGAATAGATGTTTTTGTGTGTGAGAAAGAGGAAGAAATCAGAGGTGAAATCTAAAATTTTTCCCTACCAGTTCTGTGGGCGTGGCTAGGTGGGCGTGGCAGGGGAAGGATACTGCAAAATCTCCATTCCAACCCCACTCCAGGGGAAGGATACTGCAAAATCCCCATTCCCTCCCCACTCCTGGGGGAAGGATATTGCAAAATCTCCATTCCCACCCCATTCAGGGGCCAGCCAGAGGTGGCATTTGCCGGTTTTCCAAACTACTCAAAATTTCCGCTACCGGTTCTCCAAACTACTCAAAATTTCCACTACCGGTTCTCCAGAACCTATGAGAAACTGCTGGATTTCACCCCTGGAAGAAATAATCTCCATCAGTTCCTTATTCATAGAAGATTATACCAGAAATACCCCTTGTTACTTATTGAGAAGGGGAAATCTGGAAGTTATATAGCAAGTGTGAATTGGCCACAATGCAACACATAATTTGTACACATAAATATAATTGAAACAATACAATTGAAACTATATAAAGTCATACATCCTACCCTTTTACACTATGGCATTTCCAGGCATTGTGTTATTCAAAGGAAATTGTGCTTTAGTACTAATATGAAAAAGATATTGTGTCATTCTTTTTATGGAAAGGGGTTCAGGACTGTCTCCACCAGTGTGACAATTCTTTGAAAACTGTACACAGAGGGGTCAAATTTGGCTGTGGGGAATGCCAAAAAAAGAAAAATCAAGTTTGAAAGTGGCCATTGGATCCAAATATCTACAGCAGCAATTCTCAAGCTGGCCACCTTTAAGATGTATGGACTTCAACACCCAGAAGTCCCCAAGTTTGAGAAACCCTGGGCAAGGGAATCTAAAGGGGGGAAAAATGTTTTGGGAAAATTTCTTCTAAAATGTCTCTGGGAAAGTAAAAATGTATAACCCACTCTCTACTTCTTATTGTTAAGTGTATATGCATAAGCACAGAAATACAGCAGAAGAAAAGCATAAATGCATTCACTGAGACATAACATTTATGATTAGAACTACACGCATACAGACAGCAGGTATGCAAATAGTCTGATTAGTTCCTTGGGAAAAGTGTATACATACACATAGATGAGTCAGATTGGGCAAGAGTATGCTAACTCATTGATCCACGTTGCAGGATATATTAACTGGTAGTAGGTAGGCAGAGGGATGCAGTGGCTCAGTGGCTAAGAAGCTGAGCTTGTCGATCAAAAGGTCAGCAGTTCAGTGGTTCGAATCCCTAATGCTGCGTTAACGGGGTGAGCTCCCGTTACTTGTCTCAGCTTCTGCCAACCTAGCAGTTCGAAAGCACGTAAAAAATGCAAGTAGAAAAATAGGGACCACTTTTGGTGGGAAGGTAACAGCGTTCCATGCACCTTTGGCATTTAGTCGTGCCAGCCACATGACCATGGAGATGTCTTTGGACAGCACTGGCTCTTCAGCTTTGAAACGGAGATGAGCACCGCCCCCTAGAGTCAGGAACAACTAGCACATATGTGCGAAGGGAACCTTTACCTTTAGGTATGAAGGCAGGTATGTAGGCAGGCAGGAGATGGATGGATGGATGGATGGATGGATGGATGGATGGATAGATAGATATTAAAAAACAAGAAACAGTCTGTATACCTACCTCAACTGGCATGTTTGATAGGGCTTCATAGTCATGTTCATGAGTAATAGATATATTATATGTTGCTTTTTTGTTAGGTTCATCAAAGCAAGGAAATGATTTTCGTGCATCTGTTGGCTCATGATCAGTTGCTGCTATGTATCTTTGGAAAAGAATGAAAATGAATGTATTAAATCATTACTCGTGGATATTTTTAGTAATTTGTTAGAAGGATGGGGACAATGCTTACCATGCTTATTTCATTTGAATAAAAAAAGGATATTAGATACCTACGTCACATGTCCAAATTAGACAAAGAGTTAATTCTATAAAAGTAATATTACTAAACTTTCAACACATATTGATTGTAATAGTTGGAGAATGAATGGATGGATGGAGAGACAGACTGATTGATCAACACATATAACAAACAAGATTGCAATAAAAAACCAGGTGCTAACGTCTTTCAAGTGCCTTCAGCATTTATCTGTGTGTGTGTATTTGTGTATCTTTAGAATAAGTTTTAGCAACTTGTCAAAACAGCCAGGTACTAGTATATTCATAATAATATCATTCATCACTCTGAGTATCCTTGTATAACTTTGTCCATTGCTCAAGAAATACAATCTAACAATAATAATATTGGACTGCAGAAGTTCACCGAGAAACCTACTGAAATAAGTTGGTATGATGATGTGTCTTATATTAATTTATATGTGGATAATTTAAGCAACCAAGGTAAACTGCTACTAAAACTGTTTCCAAAATTAATATTAAACATTTTCACATAAAGGTGAATTATGCTTTATTAACAGCATTGTGTGTATTGTGCACAATTGCCAATTGTAACAATTGATGAGAACATACAACCAAATTTGTCTCTTAAATTAATTCAAAGTGTTGGTAATTTTTCAACCACATGTTTAGAAATACTATCAACTGTATAAAAGTAAGAAAGGTCCAAACAAATATAGAAAAAATAATAAAGAAGACGAAAAACCATAGACTATAATTTCTCTGAAGCTTTATAAGTTTTCATTAAGAATCAACTTGTCAGGGTCCCTGGCTTGATCCTTCAGTCCTTTAAATTCTTAACAGTTTAAAAACTGGATTTAAAACTTTCATTAGAACATGTAGCTAGGATTTTCATCATTTACTGATAAAATATGTATTTGGAAATTCAGGCACGAATTTGAACTCTAGCTCTATCGCTATTGTCCCAATGATGATGACCTGTTAGAAAATGAATTAGAAACTACATTTGGAGTAGATAACCATAGTAGAGACAGACCATAAAAATGCTGTGTCATTTCCAAGGTCAGAGTAATGCTGTAGATATTGGAAAGGTCTTAACTTAAATACAACTTGCTTTGAAAAATGCTGACTGCTGTTCAAACCTACCTTTCTCTCATTCTTATTTTTTTATTCAGCAATTGTTCTCTTAAACCACTTTATTTATTTTATTTTATTTATTTTATTAAATTTCTATACCGCCCTTCTCCCGAAGGACTCAGGGCGGTGTACAGCCAGAAATAAAACCATGACAGTATGAAAATTAAAAACAATTAAAAACAATTAAATCAATTGGCCGAAAATTCTAATAAAACAGCCCATTAAAATAGTAAAAATATTATTATTATTTAGGCCAGCCCTGGTTGTTGGAATAGTAATGTTTTTAGGGCACGACGAAAGGTACGCAGGTCGGGAATCCTACGAATCTCTGGGGGCAGCTCATTCCAGAGGGTGGGGGCCCCCACAGAGAATGTTCTCCCCCTGGGGGTCATCAGCCGACATTGTCTAACTGACGGCACCCGGAGGAACCTCTCTCTGTGGGAGCGTACCAGTCGATGGGAGGCTATCATTGGCAGAAGGCGGTCTCGTAGATACCCAGGGCCCATGCCATGGAGCGCTTTAAAGGTGGCAACCAACACCTTGAATCGCACCTGGAAGACCACCGGGAGCCAGTGCAACTCGCGCAGGAGCAGTGTTACATGGGAGCGCCGAGTCGCTCCCATAATTACCCGCATGGCCGCATTCTGGATCAGTTGGAGCCTCTGAGCCTTTGAGAAACCTATAAAGCCTTTGAGAAGCCTATAAAGCACTATGATGCGTTATATAAGTCTAAGGGCTATTGCTATATGAAATTTTTCATGATCCACAGCCTCTTTCACTTCATCATTCCAAAAATCATTCTTTTTCATGCTTCCTATTAATACACTTCCACATACTTTTGAGGCACTCTATAATACCATTACTTTCATTCTGTTTCAAATAACTTCCATGTCCTTGTTACTGATGCCTTTTATCACAAGCCATCACATCAATCATACTTTTCAATTTATTCTTTGCTATGTGTACATATGAATTAAATCACATGCAATACTGAAAACAAATAGATGTTTTGAATATGGAAGAAATATATGAGGCTGTACATTCCTTTCAACTCCCAAGTACATTTGACTAGCTAAGTAATATATCTTAGTTGATTTGGGGAACACCTACAGTTCTAAACCATCCCTCCCAAATAATATTGACCTGGCTTTCCTTACCCTACAACTCCTAGAATTTCCAGCAAACAGATAATGAAAGCTATAGCCTCAATGCATTTGATGGATGCTAGGTTAGAGAAGGCTGATGTAGACAAAATTAGAATTATGTTCCAAAGTACCCATTAGTACATACCAAAATGTGGTGAAAGCACGTTTTTACATTATTTAACTTTCAAGGGTATGACAGCTTTGTTAGGGTAAAAGGATTCTTTACTGGTGCTGTTGCTAAGTACATATCCCTTAATGGTTTTGAAAGGAAGACTAAGATCAACAAATGGATAACTTGCCTTTCAATTCCTTTTCATCTGTTTAGCAGATTACCATAAAACAGATGTTCCCTCTTCTACTGTCTCGTAATATAGTCCATTAATTGTCAGGAGGGACTTGGCCCCACATACACTGTGTGTGTATAATGAGAGCAATCCTGCTTCTTCTTTTTTTTTTTTAGTTAACATTCTGCATTACCGATTTTGTGTCCACAATCCTGACTCACATCTTCATTTACTTCTAAATTTCTTCTTGCAATTGTAGAGTTTCTTCTGATTTTCATTGCACAAAATACAGACCGGTTTATGGCTTTCAACTGGAAGTTGAAAGAGTTCATGGATGGAACCAGATAGTGCTAACTAACTACCTTACAAACATATAGGACTATTAAGTCTACAATTTAAGGCACTTCTACGGCATTTCAGAAGTCAGAAGACAATCCACAATAGGGTCTTTGTAGAGTTTGTGGCACCACGCGACTTATACAATTTTCAGCCTGACCTATTCTTCTGAATACTTCATTAAATTTCATTTTATTAAGAAAACAAATTCCTAATTTTGAAGCCTCTACAAGCATCTCAATACAAACATGGCCAAACAAAACAATACATACTGAATCAGACCTTGGAAAATTATTTGTGCTAGGTTTGAGATACAAATAATGATTAATATATGTCAGTTCTAACATTGCTTCATCAATCCACACTGTTTCCTATTTATAATTCTGATTAAACATGAAGGAAGGAAAGATGAAACTCACTCAGACTGTCATTCTTCCAGGCAATATATCCAAATAGCATTGGATGATGCGAGTTGTAGTCATACATCTGGAGACTATGAGATTGGGAAAGGCTGGACTAAGCATGGAAGGATTCCAAACCTTTGGTTTAATATTTATTGTACTTTCCCAAGTAACATCCCTGTGATGAAATGAACTTCCAATTAAACAATAGCTTGTAAGATTTTCAGAAGCAATGTTCTCTATGCTGTAAATTTCTACCAACAATGCAGCCTGTTATGAAAGCCTACAAGATAGAATTATGTTCACTGCAGGGAACATGCAACCACTGCATCCTTAACATATGGCTGTCCAGCTTTTGCTTAAATTGGTCCTCCCTGGAGTGCTCTGTTCCATCATCTAACAGCTCTTGCTTGTAGTTTCCCTAATGTTGCAATTTCCACTCATCAATTCTAGCTCAGCCCTCCGGAGCAGCAGAAAGCAAGCCTATTTCAAAATCTGAGTATTTCTCAAAGCCTTAATGACTTGAACGCAGAGACAAGAGCTAAAAAAATCAGAGAATAATATTTTCTTAAGCTACATACCTAGTACATGGAATTTGCCAACCAGGTAATAGTTGGGTTGAAAATGGGTTTAAATGGATTGTCTTTGCCCTTATTATGTCCAAAAGACTGTGACTGCGGCATTGGAAAGATAAACACAGGGCCCCAGACACTCCATGGATGGAAGACCTGATTGTATTTGCCACCTATGAATGAAGTGCCTATAAGACTTTGTATGGACAAGTATAATGAAACATGGGACTCATACAGTAGGTTAAAAACATGATAGTTATACAAATGTATTAGAAATATATCTATACTTGAATGATATTTGTATTAGATAAGTACATGTAGTCCTCAACCATTCACAGTCACAACAGCACTGAAAAAGTGACATGACCACGACAAGCGCCGTGGTGGCGCAGTGGTTAGAGTGCAGTACTTCAGGCTACTTCTGCTGACTACCAGCTGACTGCAATTTGGCAGTTCAAATCTCACTAGGCTCAAGGTTGACTCAGCCTTCTATCCTTCCGAGGTCAGTAAAATGAGGACTCAGATTGTTGGGGGCAATATGCTGACTCTGCAAATCGTTTAGAGAGGATTGTAAAGCACTGTAAACCGGTATATAAGTCTAAGTGCTAGTGCTATTTTTCACACTTATAACCTTTGCAGCATCTCCATAGTCACATGATCAAAATTCAGACGCTTATTAGCTGACTCATATTTATGACCATTGCAGTGTCCCAGGGTCATGCAATCACTTTTTGTGACCTTCAGACAAGCAAAGTCAATGGGGAAGCCAGATTCATTTAACAACTGTATTACTAACTGCGGTGATTCACTTAAAAACTGTGTCAAGAAAAGTTGTAAAATGGAGCAAAACTGACTTAACAACTCTCTCACTTGGCCACATAAATTTTGGGCTCAGTTGTGCTTGTAAGTAAAGGACTACCTGTATAGAATTGTATCTGTTTGCTGTTATGATATATCATATTATATTTTTTTTCTTTGTTGCACTTTTTACTTTTAAAAAAAGCTATAACTGTAGAAATTTACAGCATAGAGAACATTGTTTCCAAAAATCTTACAAACTATTGTTTTATGTATTTTTTTTTCTGTGACAATATATTTATTTCTATCATAAATGTCTTTGCATTTTGTTCCTTTTCTTTTTCTTATTATTTTAAAACCAATAAAAATGATTTCCGTATATGGACTGAGATGTAGAGATTTCCCACAGCTTGAGATCTTGTGTCACACCTGATGGACACCCCCAGTATCAAAGTCCTGTTTCAAAAACGACTGCACTTTGAAATTGTGATTAGGAGGATGAGAAGCAACAACCAGATTCCTCTCTAGCCTTCCACTGATACATTTCTACATATCTAACAGTAGTCAACTTTTAATCTGGATGCTGCCAAACAATTATATATAAACATACCTTACAGGCAACAAACGGAAGAAATTGTGCATTAAAAGGCCATCATTGTATAAATAATGAATTTCACTTATGATATCATAATAATTTAAATTAAACTACCAGACATATGTTTTCTGTCTTGGAACATTCTGTCTAACAATATAAAAGTATGATTAAGAATAAGATAAAGAACTTAATAGAACAAAAGCCCAAGAGATATGTGCTTATTTTGTTGCCTTTGCATTCTTTAAATATGTGGTAAATCCATAAGCAAAAATAAACCATACTCCTAGAACCACCATCTCCGTTGTAGCTATCATTATCCCATTATATATATATATACATGAAAGACCACAGTTCTGTGGTGAGGAAAGAGAAGGTGTAAGATGGAGAGAGAAAAAGAGAGAAGAGCCTTGTGCAAAAATTAATAGTGCAAAAATGTTAAAAGAGAGATTTACTTGGTCTTTCCATTCTCCTCATAGCTTGTTCTATAAAATCCAACCAGGGAACCATTCAAATAGCCTTTGAACTTCATACTCAGGAAATAGTTGTTAGGATGCAAGTCTTCTTCTGCCTCTATCACCACATATTCATGTGGTTCATATCCAAAACAATGCTTTATCCCAATGACCTGGCCTGAGAATGTCCTGAGCTCAGGTATTTCCGTGATCTTTGTTTCTCTCAGGTGAAGCCACAAATGCCTGGTTGTCTGTTCCTTCAAGCTGATGGTGATATTTACCATTCCAGTGTACACCTCAGCTTCCATCTCAGGAATCAAGTCTAAGTCGTAATGAACTGGGTAAAAATAGTTGGGCAGCCTGAAATTCATCCAGGGTCCGTTTTCATCATTTTTGGCACTGCAAAACACACTGGTCTCTGAAGGATGTGTGACCTCTGGAGCAGTGGATGTGGGTGGTTTTGTTGACACTTGCCCATTGTCTTCTGAAGGATAGCAGGCCTCAGGTTTTAATCCTAAACCTAATCCGAGTCCCAAAATTAAGGCCACAGCAGTTACCACTCCACAAATGATGGCCACGTGCTTGCCTTTCATGCAATACATTTTGGATGACTTGTCTTCAATATCCATTCCTTGCATCTCCCACGGTGCTTACCAAACTTACAACTTAAAACAGACACATTAAGCAACAGTGCGGTGGCTTGCTTGCTCTCTTCTCTCTCTCTCTTTCTCTCTTTGGCTGAAGAAGGGACTCCGGCTGTATTTAATAGGCTCTCTTCCTCTTTCCTTCTCATCTGCTTTTGCTTGCCTCTCTCCTCTCTCCCTCCCCTCAGTTCCCTTTTAGACAGTTAACAAAAACAAAAAAAAAGTTTGATTTTTTCCAAAGGAAAATGACTGGTAAAGCAGGAATCGGTTCAGGAGAGAAGAGAAGAGGAAACGCATGCAGAAGAACTTTGTGGCTGCTCCTATTTGCCTTATAAGCAGCACAGCCCCACCCCCAACTCCTCCTGCTCTGGTCAGAGTTAAATATAAAACGGTGCTGTGTTAATCAGCAGTTGGAGATGATCAAATGCCAAAGCTCCGTCAGCAACTTTCTAAAAGACAGCGCACCGCTCGAGAGAGGTGTCCCTGATCAAAAATCTCAACCTTTGTTACTACCTTTTACCTTTCTCATCCAGTTTCTTTTATGAGCAGGATTCTCCTTGGACTTCCACCTCACGTATTTGTGGAGGGGGGAAAAATAGTCCACGTTCTGGATTTTTTTGGGGAAAAAAAATTCCTTTCCACTTCTTAAAAAGTTTCTATCTGGGTTTTTCAAATGGATGAGCTTTACTTTCAGTTCTCCTACACTCTGTTATTCCATGTGGTTGTGGAAAGAACATTAAGCTCCAAATGCAGCTTTTCTTTTCTTTTCTTTTCTTCTTTCTCTTCCACTGCCTGTTTCAGACAATAAATGTCAGCTCTCTCTCTTCCCCCCCCACACACACAGAAAAGCCAAATGTAATCCCCAAGAATCCACTCTAATTTGCATACCGAGCAAACAGGCAGCAGTGGACATACACATCTGATTTAGCTATTTCTGATTCACACTGTTTGTTCAAAGAGATAATTTGGGTACTTGGAGCAAAGATAATTTCTTTGCTCCACGTTACAAATATCAGAGCAAATGCATGAAAAAATAAACTTGACATTCAAATGGTTCTTATCCCATGCATGAATAGTTTTTGCAATCTTTGAAAACTATGCATTTCCCAGAACCTATTCTTGCATTCCAACGAATGTGCCAAGAATAACCTCGGGATTAGAGGGGTGGGGCAGCTGGGTTGCACATTTAGGTTCATCCTTTTCATGTAGAGAAGCAGCGTCTGAAACAGAAAGTTTTGCAGGAATATGGATCTGGAGATTTGTTACTGAATGAAATCACTTTGAATTGTATAGGTAAAGGTAAAGGTTCCCCTCACACATGTGCTAGTCATTCCCAACTCTAGGGGGCGGTGCTCATTTCCGTTTCAAAGCTGAAGAGCCAGCGCTGTCCGAAGATGTCACTGTGGTCATGTGGCCGGCATGACTAAACGCCAAAGGCGCACAGAACGTTGTTGCCTTCCCACCAAAGGTGGTCCCTATTTTTCTACTTGCATTTTTTACGTGCTTTCGAACTGCTAGGTTGGCAGAAGCTGGGACAAGTAACGGGAGCTCACACCATTACGCGGACTAGGGATTCGAACCGCTGAACTTCTGATCTTTTGATTGACAAGCTCAGCGTCTTAGCCACTGAGCCACGGCGTCCTTTTTGAAACGGTATGCCACTGCTCATAAATAGTAATTTTGCAGAAAGATGTCATGTTTAATAGTACAGGTAGTCCTCCACTTACAACAATTGAGCCCAAAATCTATGTTGCTAAATAAGAAATTTGTTAAGTGAGTTTTGCCCCATTTGAGGATTTTTCTTGCCACATATATTAGTAACACAGTTGTTAAGTGAATCTAGTTTCCCCATTGACTTCACTTGTCAGAAGGTCGCAAAAGGTGATCACATGACCCTGGGACACTGCAACCATCATAAAGAGTCAGTTGTCAAGCATCCGAAAATAAATCACGTGACAATGGGTATGCTGCAATGGACATAAAGTGTGAAAAATGGTCATAAGTCGCTTTTTTCAATGCTAATGGTTACTCAAGGAACTGTTGTTAAGTCTAAGACTACCTGTACTATGTAGAGGTCAGCTGTTGTTCTCTTATGGGTTCATTGAAAGGCCCAGCTTGACAAATGGTGCATAAACCTTTACATACAACAGTGTGTGAAGCAAGTAGAGTGCCATGGTAGCCTAGTGGTAAAGAGTTCAATCCTAGGTAACGGCAGTTTTTTCTCTCCTAGCGCACAAAGACAAAGTATCTGCTGTGAATTCCACATGGCATCAGGAAGGGCATTTGGCCAGGGGTGGGCTTCAAAAATTTTAGCAAGGGGTTCTCTGTCTGGTTGCTGGGTGGGTGTCGTCATGGTGGGCGTGGCCTACTTGGCCTTCTGCATCATGGCGGGAGGGGGAATTTTTGCTCTCCCTGGGCTCTCAAGGCTTTCCTCGAGCCTTTGGGAGGCTCCTCAGGCTCCGGGCCCATTTCCGGCCTTCCTGAATTTCTGGTAGGCCTGTTTTTCGCCCACCCTGAGCCTCTGTGCACGTCCTATGTTTACCTGCATCCAAAACGGGCCACGTGGGGACTCCTGGGAGGGAAGAGGTGGGGTGGGCAGGGCCATCCAGGAGTGGGATTTGGGGATTCTCCAAACTGCACAGAATCTTAGCTAGAGATTCTCCCAAACCCCTGCAAATCCCCAGCAGCATTCGGCCAGTAAATGCTCAACTCCATCCAATCACCCTGACTTTTTATTATTTATTTAGTTACTTAGTTTGTCAAACATGTACAAAATAATAGGAATAAGTATAAACATGGACATGAATACAGGAAATGAGTACAAGAAATGGATTGACCGCAAGGCCTATGAGGAAGTTGTGGCAGGAGAAGGAAGATTAGAGCCTGAAAAAATAGAAATGGAGAGGCTTAAAGAATAAAGGGCACTTACACACTTAGGTATCAAGTGTAATCACATGATTTAGAAAGAAGGGCTCAAGGACCGTTTAACAAATAGAGTTAATAGGGTTGGTGTGAAGCAGTTTCAGTTCTTCTTCCTTTTATTATATCATATATTTAATTGCTTTGCCTTATTGTTTCCTTTTCTGCATTCCCCCAAACAATGCTTACTCTGAAAAGGAATAGCATGATGGCAGTGGTGAAATCCAATTTTTTTTACTACTGGTTTTGTGGGTGTGGCTTGGTGGGCGTGGCTTGGTGGGTATGGCAGGGGAAGGATACTGCAAAATCTCCATTCCCTCCCCATTCTGGGGCCAGTCAGAGGCAATATTTGTCAGTTCTCCGAACTGCTCAAAATTTCCGCTACCGGTTCTCCAGAACCTATCAGAACCTTCTGGATTTCTCCCCTGCATGATGGGTATAACTAAACATATCTGAACTTAGCTGTATAATATTGTCCTGAGAATCAATTTAAAGTCAAGTAAGCAAGGATGAGACTACAGCTTATTAATATGCATTTGAAAAAAATAATCCATTCTATTATATAGTACACAACAAAACCTAAACAGGTTTCAACAGTCCTCGGGACAAGCTATCAAACTATGGGTAAAGTTTGGATTCTCCAGTCATAAAGTGCTTCAGAATGGCTCTTCAACTTGAGGTAAAATAGCCCTATTGCAAAAGTGGGCACCAAAAAGCAAGAATTACGGTAGAACTATGGAGAATATTTTTTAATTTTAAAAAGTAGTAAATATTTAACGATGAACTTGAGACTGATATCCAAATTTCTCCTTCCTGTTCCTTTCCTTTCTCCTTTGACTGGTAAAAATTATGCTGATGCAACCACTCTATATACTATTGTAATAACATTATAATTTTTATAAAGGTTGACATACAACAGTGTGTTTAACAGGCAACAGGGAAACATTGTGACGCAATGCATTGAACTCGATGGTGCTTCCAAATTACATGAACTAGTTTCTCATTAATTCCATGTCTAATATGGAGGAGACATCACATGAATTGCTGTACATTCATAGCAGTGCAGAAACAGCTGTAAAATTTGGAAAACTGTAAGCATTTTTATCTTGCCCAAGCATAGACATATAGAAAGATTTTGCCCTGCATATAAAAGTAGAGTCTTTATCTTGGTGCCAGTCCAATGACAAATGCCATTTTTAAAAAAGGATTACACTTGTTATTATTGGCCAAGTTTAATGTAAACAGCTAGTGTCTTGCTCATATCTGATATTCATTTGCTAAACTGGAAAATCCTGATCTGATGTAAACTTATTTAAATGCATGGTGCAAAGAATTAAGGACCTTCTTATATACTTTATCACTCCCCCCCCCCGATTTTCTTTTCATCCTTGGTTCAAGAAACATGAAGCAATAAAGTAATCAATCAATTTTGCAAACCAGGATATATGTAGTTCATGCATATAACTTTATATGTTTGAATGAGTTTTTTTTTCATCTTGTGGCTTTCATAGTAATATTTAACAATATTCTGGAGATAAAATATAGATTTAAAAAACACAATGATTAAATAATCATATTAACATTCATGGAAAAGGGTGTACTGTCTTCTTCAATCTGCTTTCCTCCAAATATACTGGACCACACTTCCTTGGAATCTTAAGCAATTTAATCTCAGCTCTGGAGAACCCCAAGCTGGGGAAGATGGCTTTATTGTACCAAGAAGAGAAATGATTGAATCCTTTGCACTTTGGATTTACTACTTTGGAAGCAACAGTTGAAGAGCAATTGATGGTGAACAAGAGCCCAGAGTCCCTACAACAAACACGAGGGACCTGAATAGTGCAGATAAGTCATTCAATTGTCTCTAGTAGTGTCAGTTTGCCATTAGTAAAGACTTCGGTGACAGATAAGAATCTTGTTTCCCCTTTCTCAGATTCTCCAAGCAGAGAAAAACGAGTAAGAAGAATAAAGAAAGGTAAAATAAATGTCTATTACGCAAGCATACAGAATTATGTAAGTCCTTAAAACCACTTATGGTGCCAAAATACACTCAATCATTTTAGTAATTGTGATAACTTAATCTAATGACTGAGAATCGTAGAAGCTGAGCATCACATGCCTATTGACTCAACTCAAGTACTGTGCAAACTATTTCTTTTCATCACATTTTTTTTCCTCTTAAACATTATAAACTCATTGTGGTATTAACTAGTGGAAGAAAGAAGGTGAAAAACAGCACATCTAAAACACAGAGTTATTAATGACAAGAAAGCTATTTACATTGATAAAACCTTTGGCACTTAGTTGGTTATATTGGCAATTAGTGATTAGAAAATTCTTAGTAATTGTTACAATTGCTCTATAAAAATTATTCTGTTTTTTGTAC